AAAATCCTTGGGCATTCTTCGCCCGCGCCTGGCAAGTCCGGAAATTATCTTCCAGTTTCGTCTCACATGTGCCATGCAAAGCCGACGGTCATAACCGGGCACGGCTAAGAGATTCTCCATCGTGGCCACGCTCTGAATATTATCCGGGGTTCTCCGCTGGCGCAAATAATTATCTAATAAGCCTACATGTTGAGTGCCAAGCTCTATTTCGGAAAAATTTCATACATTCTGGATAATTGATTGAGACTATCCGCCTGCCTGAAACCGCCCTTGTTAAATGGCTGACGGCCAAAGCTGGTCCCTAAAGACATGGCGTTGTGAAGTGTCGAGTTAATTGGTGATGACGGGAAGAGGGAGGCATTTTTGAAGAGCTGGTCTAGACTATGACATAAGTATTCGGGTAATTTGCATACATCAGAGATAGTTTCGAAATCTATGCGTATCTCCTTGACTTAGCACATTTTGCGCTTTGGTAACGTCACTTTTTTGCCTACCTGTCACGTGCGTATCCTGACCGTAGCACTTCCGACATAGTTCTTACTGAACGCCTGGTGGTGGTGGCTTTTCTTAACGGGAGTGTTGTAGTAAAACTGGGGCATTCGTACTCCTTTCTATGTGGCATTTAATTCTAGTGCTATGTCTCGCATGGGGCTATGTAATCTGACACTAGATATTGGAGACTCGCTCGGGTTTTATTGCTATTGTTGGTATAACCAATTCTGGAAAACCGAAGTACAAAACAGGGCAAGCGAATTTTTTTATGCTACTATGACGTAGACGGTGAAAGTGCTCCACGTGCAACGCCATCCAGGGAATGATTTTCGGCTGAGAGGTGGTCACCACGAAATGCGGCATAACTTGTTCTCAACGCCACTCGCTATAACGAGGACCATGACAACCAAGCGTGGTGCGTGTTATCCACCTGGAGAAGAACGTGGACGATCTTGAAAGTTAGTACTTCTTCATTTCACCGAAAATTCGCTGTGCTTTGAAACGGCCGACGCACCACATCTTGTAACCATTGTAAAAATCAGGGTTCAAATTACCCACAACCTTACCACGCAAATGCACTATTTCTATCCGGAGTGCCAGGGAGTCATGCTTCCACGTGATGTCACTGTTGTGAGCCGGCGTTTTTTTCTCATCGCTTTGAAATATGGATGACGTGTTGAGAAAAAATTAAGCAGCGGTGGCGCTTCCATTTAGTCACGCGAGGCTGCCTCATGGGTGGATTCGTTATACGGACTGTCGTCCTCGTCGGATGCGTCCACCTAGTGGGTCGTCCACCTATGTCCACCCGCGTCCACCCACAGCTGACGATTAAAGGGAGCGGAAGAGGATTCGAAGGGTATAGTAAGGCGTGTATTTACGGTTCAGGCTGTTTCCACGCAATACTGCCGTTGAAATGCTCAGTTTGAAGGTGAGTTTCCTTCACTCGCCATTATCCTGCGTAGTGTCACAAGCCTCTTCTGGCTATGGTTCCAAGCACTAGCATCTATCGTAATGGAGGAGAGGCAAAAACAGGGATGACTTTAAGTGTTGTTAAATCAGTGTGGTTTGCCTCCCCTCCCCATATTTATGCTGACTTTTTAGCTTTCGACACAGGTCAGTTATCCGTAATCCAATCCGGAATCGAGTAAAATTTTACATAAAAACGTTCTGCTCCGCTAACACAACAAATATTTAGTTATCCCTAGTAAAAGTTATCCGTAGTAAAGAACGTTATAGAGGATTTATGGAAAATGATCGGATGAGCATATTCGTAGGCAGATAACTAGCATCCCTGAAGCAGTTAGCATTCACTGAAGTACGTCGCAAGCGGTCGGAGGGGATAGTGAAGATGAGGCACCTTATGGGAAGCCGAGCACTGCTTAGTCTCAAATGAGCATGTCATGCCCAAACCCGCATGTGGGTCTTTTTCTAAACTCCATTCGTGTGCCATTTTGCTGATTTTCGCTTGCGAGACTTTCTGCAGTGGTCTGCCAATTTCAATGTCTTCTTTCATATTCTTTGGTAGATTAGATCCTGTAGAACATCATCTGGCACTTAAAAGTGTAGCACAAAGTGGCACTCTGCCGTAAATACCGAAGTGGCCCTCACCAGCTTTGACTGTTCCTGTCGTTGATCACCTCGCATAGGACTCGAAATAAACGCCTACCACTTAAGAAAGCTGTAGCAGCCTGGCTGTCTAACACTCACCGCCGGATTCCGCGTCCAAGAGCGAAATTGTCTTCCAATAACTTCGGAATGACCAGCTTAACGTAATCATGTATGGTGGTTAGCGCCAGCATTGTTGCGCGGGCATCACAATAGCTTCAAATCATTTTATCGAGAGTGCTGATCTTGCTGTCGGGTAGGACATCAACCAGGCAATATTTTATGCCGTGCCAGTTTTCCTTCTCGGTTGCTTTTGAATAAAACATGACGGTTCGCTGTTATGCGTGCTGCGTGCGCCGCAGGGCGGGGCAGCGGGACGCCCGGGGTGGCACAAAGTCCCCCGTCTGCCATGCACATTATATGGGCGCACGGGCGCGTCAACAGTGACCCGTTATCCAGTGTATGTTCAGGTCCTGAAATGTCCCTGATGCATCACATGGTGTAAGAGTGCGGCTCTTTCCGATAATCGCTGACCAACGCCATCGCCGTGGGGTGGAAAAACTTTCTCCAAAAATGCATAGCACTGATATGCTCAGTTGGCGCTCATGTCAGGCGTTCTCACTTCTAACACTTCTGGGACGTGAATAAAGGTTTCTTATGACCGCATTTCGTGATCATTTTTGAAAAACGCTTGTAGTTCATATGGGGTCATCCAGTCTCGATCAACCCTGTTCGAGGCCTTCCAAGGAAAACATTCTACAACATGCTGCTGGTTCCGCGGTCAAGCGATTCGTTTGGGCTATGAGCTGACGTTCAGAGCCGTTTAGCATGGGCAGCACTGGACGTAAAAGCAAAGAATATTTATTTCTTTGAAAAAAACTGACCTCTTCTTTGCCCATGAGCCAAAGGCGACCTGCCAGCTGGCGGTAAACGCCAGCATGTTCCGGACATTGGCACTGGAGACCGAATACCAGCCTTTATGAGGTTTTTACGAGCTCGATCTCAAGGACCTCTCCGATCGTGCTAACCCTCCAGATTGTTTGAAGGCATTCTGAATGTTTTTAGCCGTACACGAAGATGATAGGGGAACGTTGCGTAGGAAGCACAGCTTGCAAAAGATCGTGCAACTTCCAATTTTTTATCCGTGGCGGAACCCCGCGCTGCGCGTCGCACGTCGCACGACGGTTTAAGAGCTCATCCCCTAACCCCTCCACGGGCTTCTGGAGGTGAGCATCCGTTAGAGGCTTTCCACGGCTTTTGCTTTAACTAAACTGAGGCCCCACCGGGAGAGTTTGGTAGCCATGAGGAGATTAACCGCAAGAAAACGCGTTTGACCCAGTCAGGCCAAAACGGCTTCTACCAGGTCAGCTGAAGGCCCGTGGACACAGCGGCCCTCGAACCCTTGACAGCTTCCTCTCCCTCCACAACAGGCGAGACTAACCTCGGACACCGCACTCATCCGGGCGTCGCGCACCGTCCTTCCCTGCAAAAGGGGAACCCACATGCTAGACCAACCGGAAAGTTTTGGCAGCAAGTCGCAGCACACCAGGACCGCTCAACACGGCCCGGGGACTGACGGCGGGCGGGTGCACAGACGCGGCGAATCGTACGAGTGCTGGCTTGACATCCACACTCCCCCCCCCCCTTCACCATATACCCGGACGTAACATGGACCCCGGTAGCGATGGTCTGCTACAGTGGCGCTGAACGGCGTTGTCGAGGGCGGCCAGACAGTATGCAGGGAGACCCATAAGTGGCGTTGGTTTGTTCAGCTACCGCAACATGAACGGAGAAGCAGCCCGCTTTCTCGTAAAACAGCTCAAAAACACACGTTCACAAGCGTTGCCTGCACGCGCCGTTAATCCGATGATTTTGACTGATAACATGGGGTTCTGGAAGAGCCAGACCAAGTGTGGCATTCCCAAAGCGGGGAGTGTCCCTAGTTTGATGAGATCAGCTGTGACGTTGCTTGTCCTATGCCGATTTGAACTCCTGATAAAAGCGCGGTTTGTATCGCCAGGTGTCGTCGGTCTAGTGCGCGAATGGCGCTGCTCCAAGCCCTACGCTCTGTTACACCCGATGCCATCGTTCACAGAGCAACGGAAGACACAAAAAACAGCTGCACATTGGCTCCATCGAAGTTGTTGGCACCTTCCTCTGAGGCAATGGTGTTCTAATGCAGCTCACCGCGAACAATCCAGGCGTCAGGCAGAGCCGCTTGATGCGGGTAGTGAAGGTCCCCGCCGTGTCCCCAGTCCTCGCTGAACTGCCGTCGGTACGGGTCTGATGTGCATCCAGCATCACTGCACAGTTGTCAGTACATGACGCCAGTCAGAGCCGCGCGATGCGGGCAGTGAAGGTTCCCGTCGTGTCCCCAGTCCTCGCTGAACTGCCGTCGGTACGGGTCTGGTGTGCGTCCAGCATCACTGCACTGTAGTCAGTACATGGCGTGGCTGGGTCCAGCGCCCTCACGGGATCGTGTGCAGTACGATCCCTCCCTTGATCGCCACTTAGTCATCACTCCAAACAGCTTCGCCACGGCGTGGTCTGTACCGGAACTCAATAACCTCAGGACTTCAGTGGACCGTATGCCCCTAACGCTTTCACCGGTCCGGTGGTTTGGTGACAAGCATCGGAAAGTGGTCGACAACAGATTGCGCAGTGACGCTTGTAACTTCGTCGACGTCTGCGTTTTCGACGTCGTCTTCGTCTCCGTCTGCTGCTACCTGCCACTCCAGCTGCGGCATTGCGGTCAGCGTGAAGTGCTTCGGCGGATGATCCAATTATACTCCTTCCGCTCACGAACAAGATCACTTGTCTCTGTTTCGCTGGTTAATGGTATCATAAAGCCATCGCCACGACGGGTCAGTGCGGTCACGGCGGGTCACCGCCGCGACCGACGGTCAGTGTAGCACGCCCTCGCTCGTCAAAGCCCGCGCCGTGAAGAGGGAGCCGGAGACGAGCTGGCGGGCGCGCAGCGACTTGACCCGCAGCTGGACCGAGTCGGCCTGGCCGCGAAGCCGGCGCAGCCGCGCCACACCGCGCTCGACCAGGCCGTACAGGGCGCGCCGCATCTCCAGACTGAACACGTAGTAGAAGAGCACGTTCAACAGGCTGTTCGCAAACTGCAGGTCGTTGCCGACCGACTGCAGCACGAAGAGCAGATCCTTGCGCGGTCTGGCCAGCGCCATCAGGACGACGGCCGGAGAGAGAACGTTGCATGCCACACAGGCGCCGCTGATGGCCACCAAGAGCCAGACCAGCCGGCGTTCTGTGTCGTCGTACACACTGAGGAGGCGGCGGCCTGTCTGCGCTCGCGGCGGCGGCGGCGGCGGCGGCTCGCAGTCCGGCGGCACGATCACGCAGACAGGCGGCGGCTCGGCGCGCACGCCACGCTGGATCCGAAGCACACGCGTCATCACCATCACGTTCATGACGAGAATGGCGACGACGGGACCGAGCAGCATGGCCTGCTGCAGCGAGACAACGCACATCCACCAGTGGTTTCTCATCACTGACGGGTGGAAGTCGACCCGGTAGCCCCCGCTGTCTGCGACCATGTCGTAGTAGAATACCGACGGCATGTTTGCGACGAACGTGATCACAGCCGAGAAGACGATTCGGTCACGCGCTTGGCCGGAACGATCCTGGCGGGCCGCGTACTGTGCCGGGTGCCGGACCGCAACGTACCGGTCCACCGTGATCCAGAAGGTGATGTACACGCTGATGTAGACGAAGCCGTTAGCAAGCGGGTTGAGACAGTGCGCCATGTAGAAGGCGAGAAAGGGCCCGGTGCTGACGAGAAAGCCACTGCAGCTGGCAGATGGCGGCACCAGTCGGTACGCCACGTACGGCAGCGCGCTGACCAGCGTCAGCAGGTCCACCACCGCCAGCGCCGTCAGGTACAGGTAGATGGGCGCGGCGCGGGGCCGCACGCATCGCAACACGAGCACGCTGAGGGCATTACCAACGATACCGAGTGCGCAGCCGACGCCGGCCGCGGCGTACGCAGCCAGCGAGATCTGGCGGTGGATCTGGAGTTCGTCTTCGGTCGGTCGGTCGGGACAGGAGTGGTCGGTCATCGCGCGCCGGCGGCGGACGGCCGGGTACTGAACCCCGACTGTGCCGCGCAGCCGCCGCACACGTACGCCGATAGTGTATCGCCGGCGACATCTGCGTCCAGGGCGTCCCCAGTGGGCCCCATGCGGCGCGTGCCACGCCTTATTAGTTTACACTCGCTGCAATATCGGGTGTTGGCGCGTTTGTACTTCACGATAGCCTTTATCTCTAGAAAACATTTTGCAGGCGGTGGATCTAAAGGCTAGAGGGCTTGTCGCGCCTTGTAATGATGCTTCCTGTTTCGCACGCTTCCAGCAACATGCGTATGATCTTTCAAACACATGGGATTGAAATGGCCACTTACGTCATTTCTGCGAAAATTTTTTATAGTCGATATCACCACTCTGCACAAGGCGTGCAAATGCTGTACGCCTGTTCGGTGCCAAACAGGAACCTTACCCGAACGATTCAAATGTCTGGAAACAAAAGAAAAGCCCAGGATACAGCAGCGCCGGTAATAAGCTTTGCTGGTCGCCGGACCTGGTGGTGATAGCAGCGGTACGTGTGTCTAACTCGGGAAAACCAGGAGCTTAGGCATTTCTTGCTTATATCAAGGTTCACTTTTCTCAGCTCCCAATCTTCAAGCAGACCTTCATGGACATTTAGTAAGCGAAGTGAGTGTTTGACGTACTTATCGTGCATTCTCATACATTGTTTTCATATGAATGCGGACAGGGTCGCAAGAACTTCCAGTTTTCAGGTTGAACAGCTCTCCTATACCATTTCTTCTGTGATAACAACTTTTTCGAGCGCTGGTCCAGTCAAGTTAATGACTGGTGCTGGTGTAGTTCCTGTATCCTCCATCGTACAATCACTGCAGAACCACGTATTACGGAGTTGTATTGCCTTTTTTGTTCGTTTATTTACCTTCACTGAGTAAGGGTCCCATCCTCTTCCCACAAGTCATCAGTATTTCCCTGTCCTTAGGTCACTTTCTTAAGTTCGTATATCTTCAAAGGGCATTTGGCGCATACCTAATGTGTCCCAGAATCTCTTCGGAAATCGTCTTCAACCTCTGAACGCATTTGGCGTATACCTAATGTGTCCCAGAATCTCCTCCACCTCTGGACGAGTTTCCGTAGCGCATGAAACGGCGTAGTCGGTGCCATATTTCGATTGCACATAGGTTCGATATAGCTCCTCTTCGAAATTTATGGCAAGCAGGCTCACGTTCATGTCACGTTCACGTTCACGCAGCAACCGGACACGTTATCGTCTTCCGGCTTAGAGGGAGAGGTTGGGTGCTCCCATACTGTGCGAACCGTACGCGACATTGCACTCTGGCGCTGGCAACGCGACCGGAAACGAGCATAGCGGCAGAAAGGCCCGTGCACCCGGCGCAGAGGATGGTTTGGTTTGGTTTTGGTTTGAGCCTTTCGGGCCAGTAGTGACTATTTCAGGTATATGGGATGAAGGAGATGAGATAGCGGAAGGGCAGGACAATGTGGACCTGAAATTCTTGCACAGCCGAGGCCTAGCCCTCACGCGGACCCTCTCTTCGGAGAATGTGCGCACGCTCGAACGAGCTTACCCGAGGGAGCAGCTGAGCCTTGGCTGGCGGTTGGTGCATGCAGATTGACCCGGATCAACGGGGCGCTGCGGGGATGCAGGATCAAGCGTGAATGGGGAAACGCGGCCGAGGTATGAGATGGGGATGACGCGACGCCCACCGCACACACAGTCGGGTGCTGCTGGGACATACACAGTCGGCCACTGCTGGGGCACATAGTCGGGTGATGCTGGAACACACACCGCCGGCCGCTACTGGGACACACCAAGTCGGCCACTGCTGAGACACACCCAGCCGGCCGCTACTGGGACACATAGTCGGGTGCTGCTGGAACACACACAGCCGGCCGCGGCTGGGACACACCAAGTCGGCCACTGATCGGACACACACAGTCGGCCGCTGCTGGGACACACACAACCGGCCGCTGCTGGGACACACACAGTCGGCTGCTGCTGGGACACACACAGGTAGCTGCTGCTGGAACACACACAGTTGGCTGCTGCTGGGACACACACAGTCGGCTGCTGCTGGAACACACACAGTTGGCTGCTGCTGGGACACACACAACCGGCCGCTGCTGGGACACACACAGTCGGCTGCTGCTGGGACACACACAACCGGCCGCTGCTGGAACACACACAGTTGGCTGCTGCTGGGACACACACAGTCGGCTGCTGCTGGAACACACACAGCTGGCTGCTGCTGGGACATGCACAGTCGGCTGCTGCTGGAACACACACAGTTGGCTGCTGCGGGGACGCACACAGTCGGCCGCTGCTGGGTTACACACAGCAGCGACCATCGTCCGCGTGTGTGTCGACTGTGAGTCCGGGCAGCCCGCTGCGCGGACGCACAAAGACACGCGGCGGCTTTCTGAGTAGCTGGAGTGTGAGGCAAACGGAGATTTCCTTTTTGCGCGAGTGCCATGAATAAAAACAAACAAAAAGGCAAACGGGAAGTTTTCTAGACATGAGCTGCCACCGCCTATCCTCGCCCTTCCCGTCCGCACCCGCACTTTTGCTCTCGGCTGCTGTCTAGGGACTCCAGTTTGGCCATGGGACCGCGTCATCTCCCGGACGACTGCGCGCTGGGTTGTCACGCGATCTTTCACAAGGTGACAAGGGCGTTGCAGTAGGGGGGGGGGGGCAAGAGGCCCTAGCTCCTGGATCTTTGTGGCCCCCTGTTGGCTGCGGGAGTTCTATTGTGCCGATGGTTGAAAGCCCAACTAACTAACTTGACCGACCAAAATTTGGTGTGCTCTCTGTTTGCACTGGCGCTCGTTTGTGCGTTTTGTCTCAAACATCTCAAATAAGGACGCTCGTATCGCTGACGCAGGTGCTATTAAACTGATGAAGGGGATACATTTGTCTTGAATTTTGCATTAGCAGTCTCGTTCTGAACTGACGACCTTTAACCTACACCAAATTGATGCACACTGAAGAAATATCAAGACCTGCTTGCACTTTTCATTTACAAAGCCAACAGCCGGTGTTAGCGCTTTTACTTAATAAATTGACTCACTGCTGGCTTAAAGGAAATGCTAGACATTTGAAGTTATTGAAACAAGCATGAAATATGATGAAATAAGCCAACTTGTAACTATCCGTGTGCTTCAAAATGGAAAAGACTGCTCTAGGGAAGACATTTTCTGTATTTAGTGAATGTGCTCCTTAATGCGTTATTTTTTATTGCGTCATGAAACCTTTGCATGATAGCATTCACTTGTAGTTTTTCAATCTCGCAAGAGATGTCATCACGGATTGGAAGCGTTCGCTGAGTCAAATACTGTTATGTTCTCTTGTTTGGCCCTTTTCTCGACCTTATTGGTGACGATTCTCGCATGCTTGGCACCGGACAGCTGTTTTCACTTTTGAGAAACGTAGGATTCACAGCCATTTATACACCACGGTAAACACTTAGCTGTTATGGGCGCAAAATGACCCTAGAAGTCGACGCGCCCTAAAACCCCAATCATCATCATCACCCTTTTCTCGGGGCGTTCTTGGATCTCACTACCAGCACCCAAATCAGCATAAATTACACACAGTAAGTACTGCTGTAGAGCACGATAATATTGACATGCAACATTGCGCTGCATTCTGTGCCGATTTTAAATTTATATGTGTACTTTGTGTTATTATGCAACAGACGCCTTGCTACATTGTGCATTTATAGAAAAGAATGAAACCTTACGAAGAGTGTAGCTTCCTGTGATTCAGTGATTAGCTGTCTCCGTTGTCTAAATGATTAAAGAATGTTACACTCACCATAAACACGTCATAGGGTTTACAATCATTTTATCAGGTAATATTTTTTAACCTGGCAAAGTGTACGGTTTGCGGTTATTTGTCTATGGTTTGTGACTAATATGCCGATTACTGCTTTGTGGCCTGAGATGAGAACTGAAGGTTGGGGCTGGAGCGAGCATTGTATAAAAGAACTCAATAAGCGGATCGAATTGTCAAACTTCGAGGGGGAGAAGGGGGTGGGGGCAAGCTTTCACAACATAAAAAAGGTGGCAGCTGTGACAGCGAGCTGCTTCAAACGCTACTGTTCTCAAATTGTGCACTGAGTGGCAAGTCACTGGGAGAAAACGGAACATGGAATACTTACTGTAGTAGAAGGCCGATAGCTTCACTTTCGGAAAGTAGTCTCAAACCAGGAAGTGGCTTTCGTGATGTTATATCTACATAGAACAGAATTTGAGCTGGAAGTGGAAATGTCTGTAGATGATATGAGTCACTTTCCTATCATCTCTGCACTTTTCTGAAATGTTGACGATGTCGCCACTAAGAAGACTGATGATGGCGAGCCGGGGGTATGAAAAGTTTAATAGCGATGCTCATTTCCAATGATTTCTAGCTGTTTTATCATGCCTTTGCTAAATGCTGACTGCCTAAAACAGTTTCCAAACCGCGCATTTCTTGGAATCGGTTCCCTTCCGTTTCCTTAACAGTTTTACAGGTAAGAAGTAAATTTCATGCGAGGTAACTATAATGCTAAGCAACGATGCATGCTGTGGATATGAGGATGGAATATACACCCCCTATGTTGTCATCGAGGCTTTACAACGTACTCAGCTGCTGAAGTCATATGGCACCGCCTGCCTTTCGCCCTGGCAGAAAGGGCGGGCACCGCGGTGCATACAACCCCGTGCTTTTGGTTTTTCAGACACGTAGCTTAACCACAATACTACCTGCGCACTTAACTGCCTAGTTGCACTGTTTAATTTAATATCGCTTTCTTGTTTACTTTGATGTAGTGTCCGTATTGCTACCTGGAAGTGTTCTGTACATGACAACTACCTAAATTATCTTTTCTAGAAGCGCGATATGGCCGCGCAGTCAAGGCACCCTAAAGCCCCCCCCCCCCCCCGTTCTATGGGTGTTCCCTCTCTTGTTCTCTTTGATATTTTGCTTAGCATTTGCGGTGGTAAGTTGGTAGTTATACAATGGTGATCGTCGGTGGTTTGATTTCCTATTATAGCACCTCAAATAAGGGAGAACTCTATCAGCCGCGAGGCACTGGCATGACCATATTGGGCAACCTCTTTCTGAACAATGATAACGGTATGTGTGTACATACGCACGTGCCCTGCAGCGCCCAAAGCATACTGATAATGGTCCCAGCAATTGACCATTGACTGCTATATCAACAGTATAGAACGCTGTGCTAAGAATAAAGCTCGTATTTTAGCATGCTTAAGCATAAGCTGTTTTCGAAAGGAACACGGTTGAAAACTTCAAGACGTTTCAGCGTTTGTTTTCTTACGACACAGCTCTTTTGAAAGATTTTGGGCGAGACATACCCCGCAGAAAGTTAAACGCATGTTTGTAAAGACGTAGATGATTGTTGATAAAATTTCGGTTCCTGACGAAACTTTTTGCAGCGTTTTAAAAGAATTCGGTGACATGTCTGACGCAGACGGGACAAATCGTGCTTCTATTTCCTGGCTGTGCTGTTGATTGGCATTCATTACTGGCAGGGCTGACATCTCCGGACAGAGTCCGCTTGGCCCCGCATGACTAATGCAAACAATAATAGCACAGCCTGCATCCATCGCCCTCAACCAATTCACACCGTTGCGAGGCCTGGTGCCATCTTACGTCTCTGAAGAGGCACGTCAATGGAATTGCAGCAAAGCAATTGTTTTCTTGTCAACTTGTTAAGTGAATACTAGAAGTGTCCAAAAACATTTGAAAACCTTAAAAAACTTAAGCGCATTTATCTATCATGGAAAAGCTATTAATGACGGGATTCGTTGCTTTTTACGATAACTATTAGTTGGGATAATGCTACCCCTCGTTTTGGAATTGGTTGTGCTCATTTTATTTATTCATATCACTTGTATACCGGCATGCACCAATACCGCCATCCGCATTGTGCGGTGTTACGTCGGTGGAGAACGGGCGGGTTGTTTGATGGGTGTGGTGTGCTGGTTTAGTCGCGTACACATAGTGTTGATCATTGTAATACCTTGTCTCCAACAATTGTGCAATAAACGATGTGGCACAGTAAGCCGGACACAACAAACGTCCACAAACACCATAGCTGGTAAACGTGACTGAGGAATATCGAAACTACGATCTCTGTACTGATAACTGATCATCATGCTGGATTAATAATGCTGATTAAATTGCAGACGGGTATTATCATTCTCTTAGCACCGTCGCTGGGTTATGGTCAGTGTGGTTCGTTGCTTTGCGAAGCGTCTGCAGTAAACCAAGATGGCAAGACAGGATAGCATTTGCTAGTGAATACGTTCTGTTGGATAAGCTGTGCCCTGCTCGCGGGCGGCAGCGACCGACGGTCAGTGCGGCACGCCCTCGCTCGTCAAAGCCCGCGCCGTGAAGAGGGAGCCGGAGACGAGCTGGCGGGCGCGCAGCGACTTGACCCGCAGCTGGACCGAGTCGGCCTGGCCGCGAAGCCGGCGCAGCCGCGCCACGCCACGCTCGACCAGGCCGTACAGGGCGCGCCGCATCTCCAGACTGAACACGTAGTAGAAGAGCACGTTCAACAGGCAGTTCGCAAACTGCAGGTCGTTGCCGACCGACTGCAGCACGAAGAAGGTGACGTCACGCGGTTGGTGCAGCGATATCAGCGTGGCGGCGGAGGCAGCCCCGCTGCACGTGACGCAGGAGACGCTGATGGCCACGAGAAGCCAGACCAGCCGGCGTTCGGCATCTTCGCGCGCGCTGGTGAGGCGGCGGCCTGTCTGCGCTCGCGGCGGCGGCGGCGGCGGCTCGCAGTCCGGCGGCACGATCACGCAGACAGGCGGCGGCTCGGCGCGCACGCCACGCTGGATCCGAAGCACACGCGTCATCACCATCACGTTCATGACGAGAATGGCGACGACGGGACCGAGCAGCATGGCCTGCTGCAGCGAGACAACGCACATCCACCAGTGGTTTCTCATCACTGACGGGTGGAAGTTGACCCAGTAGCCCCCGCTGTCTGCGACCATGTCGTAGTAGAATACCGACGGCATGTTTGCGACGAACGCGATCGCAGCCGAGAAGACGATTCGGCCACGCGCCTGGCCGGAACGATCCTGGCGGGCCGCGTACCGTGCCGGGTGCCGGACCGCAACGTACCGGTCCACCGTGATCCAGAACGTGATGTACACGCTGGTGTAGATGAAGCCGTTGACAATGGGGTTAAAGCAGTGCGCCACGTAGAATGCGAGGAAGGGCCCGGTGATGACGAGCTCGCCACTGCAGCCGGCGGACGGCGGCACCAGTCGGTATACCACGTACGGCAGCACGCTGACCAGCGTCAGCAGGTCCACCACCGCCAGCGCTGTCAGGTACAGGTAGATGGGCGCCGCGCGGTATTGCACGTATCGCAGCACGAGCAGGTTGAGCGCGTTGCCGGCGATACCGAGCGCGCAGACGACGCCGGCCACGGCGTACGCAGACAGCGAGATCTGGCGGTAGGTCTCGAGGTCGTCCTCGCTCGGCCGGTTCGGACAGGAGTGGTCGGTCATCGCGCGCTGACGGCGGACGGCCGGGTACTGAAGCCCGACTGTGCCGCGCAGCCGCCGCACATGTACGCCGATAGTGTATCGCCGGCAACATCTGCTTGCGGCCGGGGCCATCCAGCCACATACGGCGCCTGTCGCGCCTTATTAGTTTACACGCGCGATAATATTGTGGTTGGCATGTTTGCTCTCCGCTATAGCATCTATTGCCAGGGTATATTTTGGGTGTGATGGGTGTAAAGGTCAGAATGCTTGTCACGTAAGTGACAGGCTTTTCATGATGGATTAGGTGGGAGCCCCCCCCCCCCCACAAAATATCGCTTGCTGCCGCTGTAAATATTTATTTACGTCGTTGGTTATTCCAACTGCAAATGATAGTTGCCATTGGGATGCATCGGAACTAGTCGGTTCCTTCCCCCTCATGGTCCAAAAAATCGCCCCAGCTTTACCAAGGACGCGGCCAGGTTTTTCGTAGGCGGGAGCCGGACCTCGGTAAGAACGCATCACGCCGATTTTTGGTTTTGTCAGGAGCCATGTATGGTGAGTAACGAAAAACGCGGGATTAAGGTTGGGGCGGGTGGGAGTGGGGGGGGGGGGGGACTTTGGCTGGGCCCCTGAGGTTTACAAAGGACACACGGTCGATTAATGAAAGCCATTGTGTGGAAAAGGCCTGCCTTGCATCGCAAACGTCAAAAGAGAGGGTCATCGATGTTCGAGACGGTAGAGGTTAGCAAAAATAGTGCTGAAAGTGTTTGAAATTTGTGGGAAAGCCCTAGTGACTTGTGTTGTTAAGACTGACAAGAAAAGGTTGCTTTTTTACTAAAAAATCTTTCGATTTGCCGGATCAAACGTGGTGGTGTGGGGGGGGGACGCCACTTCCTAGCCTTAAAGTTGTGGCAAGCCCCTTCTGCCCCTTCGCTTCCGGGCCTTTGGGCTAGTGCACAGATGGTAGGCTCACAATGCAAACACAATACGAAGCAAACCGGAAAACCCGAGAAGGAGACCTAAGCCAACGCAGCATCTTCCTGAAATAATGTTACGCCAGAGTCGCGCTGAATATTGTTTCGGCGTGGGGAAGCTTTTGCAGCCGCTGAGTAATGCAGGGAAATCATATTAGAAAGATATAGCAGATAACTGGACGTACACATATGGCATATAGATGTGTATATACTACGAATAGATATTATCATATATAGTGATTATATTATAGAATGGATGCAAAAGATATATAGAGAAGGAGTATAATACATAGATATATAGATAATAGAGTTAGCCCCTATAGCGCGATAATGATCTCGCTCTCTCTCTCTCTCTCTCGATGCTCTCTCTCTCTATCTTATTCTTTCTCTCTGCTCTTCTCTTCTAGCTCAGATCTAGGCATCGATAGCAGATAGAGATCGAAGCGCGATAAGAGAGTAGATCTCTCTCTCTTCTCTCTTCTCTCTCTCTCTCTCTGTCTCTCTCTCTCTCTCTCTCTCTGCTCTCAGATCTCTCTCTTCTTTCTCTCTTCTCTATCTATTCTCTCGCTCTTCTCTCTCTCTCTGCTCTCTTCTCTCTCTTCTCTCTCTCTCTTCTCTCTATCTCTATCTCTCGTCTCTCTCTCTCTCTCTCCCTCTCTCTCTCTCTCTCTCTCTCTCTCTCTCTCTCTTCTCTCTCTCTCTCTCTCATTCTCTCTTCCTGTCTTCTCTCTCTCTCTCCTTCTCTCTCTCTCTTATCTCTCTCTCTCTTCGCATCTCTCTCTCTCTCTCTCTCTCTCTCTCTCACTCCTCTTTCTCTCTCTCTCTCTCCTCTTCTCTCTCTCTCTCTCTCTCTCTCTTCCTCTATCTCTTCTCTTCCCCTCTCTCTCTCTCTCTCTACTATCCTCTCTCTCTCTCTCTCTCTCTCTCTCTCTCTCTCTCTCTCTCTCTCTCTCTTCTCTCTCTCTCTCTCTCTCTCTCTCTCTCTCTCTCTCTCTCTCTCTCTCTCTCTCTCTCTCTCTCTCTCTCTCTCTCTCTCTCCTCTCTCTCTCTCTCTCTCTCCTCTCTCTCTCTCTCTCTCTCTCTCCTCTCTCTCTCTCTCTTCATATATTTACAAGGTATATATATATATATATATATATATATATATATATATATATATATATATGTTGAAGGCATCTGGTGCGTGCAATGTTGTCACAAACATGAGAGCAACTTTCCCTTTAAGGTATTTGTAGTCAACGTATCACTTTGACGCATGAGCAGGGGTCTCATCAGCTACATTTGATACAGGAACCTGCCTCCGATTTCGCAGTATGATGGTAGCCCCCGGTCGCGTGTGTAGGGTGGCACCGCTCGTCCAACGGTCAACGTCCAACGTCTAGTGCTTCATTTCGTCAATATTTGTCATCAAACTAGGTCTCTATGACGCCAATCACTTCTTATTGATGGTGACGCATTTTACCCAAACCACAGCCAGCAGATTCCACCTTGTTGCTGGAAGGCTATTTTTCCCTGCCGCAAACCGCACTGCGTTTTTTTTTCTGCCGCGGAGCATGGCGCTGTCGTAAGCGAATGATACGACACCGGCCTTGACTATGCCATAAGCAGCCACGGTAAGCTCGGCACAGATGCTTGGGGATTGGTGTTGGGCTGCATGCGTGGGATTCGTTGGGTAAGTTTTGGGGCGATGCACGCCCTGGTCATTCTGCCATGAAGGTCTATATTTGGGGATTGCTCCTCTTCCACGACTGGGAGTACCAAAATATTTTCCCCAGAGCGCGCTGAGCATTGGGTGTTCGACAGCTTGATGTAACGGGGCCACTTTGTATAATTTTGGGGAGCCATGGGGCCCAGTGATTAACAGTGAACAAAGCGTGGAGTGGGTATGGAAACAATCGCATCAAAATTTCCCAAATTAGTGCATAGTATCAACATTTGTGGACTCCATTATCCTTGGCTTGAGGTCTTGAGCCCATGTGCTCCGATAAGGCAACACTTTGGTATTCGCTTATTGCCTCTTTTTCCAATACCTTGTGTGCGGTAGGGTAAGCAGGCTGAAGGGTTTCACTTCCTACATTACTTACTAAAATGCAGACAGGAGTAAGGAAATTGTTAATGCATCATTGCACTTCCAAACTAAATAGCACCATCTCCACCACCAATTTGCTGTGGTACTTTGGTAGCCTGATAGCTTGTGCTTAATGAGACGGCCGTGCTAAATCCACACTTGTTCAGTGATTTAAAGCGCGGTCACATTTTGTCCAACCACGTGAATTACATGGTATTTTTGTTGGGAAAACTGACCTATGGTGTATCAGTTTGATGTGCAGTACCGTGCCGTGCCTTATCATCTGCCGTGCTTCAAGGGAACGTTTTACATTTGAAGATATTGAAGCAAGCATCAGAAAGGATGAAATGAGCTCACTTATAACTTTTGGTATACCTTTTAGGTGAAAAAGGCTGCTCTAGGCAACACAATTTTCTGTTCAGTACACATGCCCCAAATGCGTCATGGTTTACTTACGTCATCGTGTTTTGCGCCACATTGATTGAGAGCCAATTGACGGCCGTTAATCTGAAAATCGTGCTCACGAACGCCAGATATGAACGCCTCGGCAGTTTGTTTTCTTACCCTTGTTCGCCGCATGGATTACGGAATGACAGGATTTGAATGGGAAATACTCTGCTATTTTCGCGGACGCATGGCTCAGAACAGAGAGCGGCTTAGGTCTTCAGGACGTGGTTGTGAACAGCACCGAAAGGCCTTTAAGATAGTTATTTCAGTTCAAAATCCCATATCAATTTCGAACACTCCCTTTCACCGGTCATTAGCGATATGTACGCTGGAGCCGGAGCCGGAGCGGTGGCTGGAACCGAGTTTTTGTAAAAATCTGGCAACCCTATGAGAGAGTTGAGACAAGGCGTCTGCCTCAGTGACTGAAACTAATAAAAATGAGCTGATGCGTCATTGCGAACCATACAAAAACCGAACAGCAACGAACAAGAAACCATCCGAATGGAGATCGATTCAGCTCAGGGATATGGTCTCTCCGCACCTGCATTGACCTGCAAAGAATGGCCGGCATCCTTGTGACGGTAAACAACAGCCAGACGCCGGTGGTGCAGTCCAGACAGTCCGGCAGTGCAGTCCGGACAGCCGGACGATGCAGTTCGCACAGCCGGAAAGCCGGGCAGTGCAGTCCGGACAGCCGGACGATGCAGTCCGCACAGCTGGGACAGCCGGGCGGTGCAGTTCGGACAGCCGAGTGATGCAGTCCGGCCAGCCCGGCAGTGCAGTCCGGACAGCCGGACGATGCAGTCCGCACAGCTGGGACAGCCGGGCGGTGCAGTCCGGACAGCCGGGCGATGCAATCCGGCCAGCCCGGCAGTGCAGTCCGGACAGCCGGACGATGCAGTCCGCACAGCCGGGACGGCCGGGCGGTGCAGTCCGGACAGCCGGGCGATGCAGTCCGGCCAGCCCGGCAGTGCAGTCTGGACAGCTGGACGATTCAGTTCGCACAACTGGGACAGCCGGGCGGTGCAGTCCGAACAGCGAGCAGCCCGGTCGGAGCAGCCCGGGCACAAGCGGCGGGCAGTGTAACCGTTGATGGAAAACTCAGCATTCATGGGTTCGCACGTCCTTAGCAGTGCACTGACACTGTGGGCATGACTGCAGATTCCGCGTCTTCGGCGTCTCTTGGACGCCAAACGAACCTTTTCCCCAGACGCAGGCGACCTTGTAGGCTGTTAGCCAATTAGCATGCTTCGGGGACGGGCTACATCCACTTTATAGGTGCGGTCGAAGATTTCACATTCGGCCGCCCATAAAGAACCCCATGCGCTCGCTGAAAAGTGTGCGGTGTTAGAGGCTCACTTCTTTTAAGTGCTGAAGGCACTACACGTTAGGCATAAAATACTTCCATAAACGAGGAATGGCTGTCCACTGCGACGTCTGTGGCCCTGGCATCTGTGAGGTGACCATTTCCCCAGCGTATCTGTGTAGTGTCTATGTCTGTCAGCTCACCACATCCCCACGCGACCTGTGTGCTGTCGGCAGCTGTGTTTTCAGCCGCATATCGGAAGTGTCGGGAAACGCAATCGCCCGATTTCCTTTTGTGCCAAGAGTTGGTGTAAACTCACGTAACAATAATTTGTCCGCTCCCGGTGGCTCAGTTGGTTAGAGCGCCTGCCTCCTGATTCACCCACCCGTGGCGGGGTGGGTTTGAGTCGCTTTAGGCGCACGCTATTTGCCCTTGACAGGTATGGCTCTGCGGCCGGTGGCAACGGTCGCGCTAAAGGTCATTTGACATCAGAGGGCAGGTCGGACCGTGCCGGACATTGCGGCACGTTAAACTCTTGTCACTTAATTCTGCCGTTGCCTGGAATTGCGCCAATGGATGGTGGGGGTCAGGGCTCACACAACAAGCACTACTTAGCGTGAGCTCTGATCCCAGAAATCCATTCATTCAAAGGGTTCGAAATCTTTGCAATGTATATATATATATATATATATATATATATATATATATATATATATATGCGGCTGATGACGTTAAAGTATACCGCTGAACCCGTTTCAGTTTATACCGAGTTCCCCAATGAGGGTTTGAAGCATGAATTCTTAATTCTCGCCCTGATTCGCCGTTTTCATAACACGGACTAATAAGTGATATAGGGGCGAATATTTCGTCGGGGGGGGGGGGGGAGGGAGGTCGCCAAGGAGTCGATGTGACCCCTTGGTGTCTACAAATTAATGAAGATAGAGCTTAGCGGAAAGCTTCACTGGATTGTTCTCAACGAGATCTCGTGACTGGTACTTGCTTTATATTGTTAAATTACTAATTGATCTCATTAGGCCAGGTCGAAGGTCAGATTTTCTAGAAAATCGTATTTTCGGTTTACATCATGCATACGAGACCATGGCTTGCGGCGACGCAAAACTAAATGGGCGTGATTCTTTGTTTGATTCTAAGCACAATGGTGCATATTTTTGTGTGTTTGGAGCATATATTTATGACATATGCCTTCTTCAATACAGCAATTTCGGCCCGCCGCGCGTGTTCTGCGCCGCCGGCGTCATCCGTAGATCGCCGTGCAGTATTCCTCGAAGCCGCCGCCGCTCCGAAACTAGACAAGTTGAGAGCACGTTTTTGGTGTCAACGCACGCGCAACAGATGCCCCATAGGTTATCGAAAATTTCGGCGCGATTGCACCGCATACCGGAGAGGTATCTTCAAAAAACCTCACTGTGGGGTCGCATTGCCCGCCCCCCCCCCCCCGACCCCCATTGGGGCGAGGGTAAATAACCGGTGCAGAATAAGCGCACTCGTGCTCTATATTTGTCGGCCGGGGTTTCTGGCGGCGGGTGCTTTTATCGCCGGCTTTTCATCCACCGCTGGTTCGGAACCCAGAGGTGCACCCAGCATAGGGTGGTATGGGGCGCAGCCAGCACAAGCCTGCAGAACAGACAAATCGACTCAAAACCCCCTAAAGATAAGGTATTGGTGAGCGTCAGTGAGAAAGCACGGTAACAGGGAGCATTCGGGAGCATCTCAAAAGTAGTGTCATAAAGCTGCTGGTGGCTGCTGCTACTTGACAGGTGCTGGCTCTAAGCCCATAGATGGAGCGTCTGTGATGAAATTGGGGTAACATTGGGAGTTTTGCCGCAGCCTAACGTTATATCGTGCCTCAGAATCCGGTTCACACGGAACTGTCATCCCATTATCCAGCTTCCGCCCCCCCCCCCGTCTCCCCAGTCTCCCGTCAGCTCCCCCCTCCGGGCTCCCGTCAGAGGCTGTTTTTCCTGGCCTCAGGAGGCGCGCTAGACTGCCGCTCTGATGGCCATGCCAGTCACATGCGGTGTGCAGTGATCGAAGGACTACCACGGGTCACCAGGGCGCGCCGTGGCCGCCCCATCGCGGCACATCCAACCGGCCGTGCGTCAGAACCCACGGCTCTGGACTGGCCGGCTCGCCGGGGCGGCGGTGCCGTGACGTCAGCGCGCCACCGCACCGTGGCGGCCGGAGCGGCACGCACCTGTCCGGCCCACCGGCCACCTGTTCCGCCGGAAACACCGCCTCGCTCCCCTCGCCCCTCCCCTGCCCGCCCGCCCGCCGCCGCCGAGTGAGGGCCTCTCCGGGGGTAATTAGGCGAGTTCTATTGGACAGCCGCGGCCGGAGCCTGGCGGCGAGCGCCCTCTCCCGGTAGCGCGGCGGCCGGATCCCCACCGGCCGTGCGCGGCGGTGACGATCGGCGACGGACCACGTGCCTACGCGAGACCCGTCGGGACAGGCCGCGGTTGAAGCCGTGGCTCGTCTCTGGACCGTGACGGGGTGGTGCATGACCTTGACCCCGGCGAGCCGTCCCGCTGCCGATTCACGTCGCAGCTGGAGCGGGCCGCCACGGCGGAGCGAGCTGCGGCGGCCGGACGAGCTGACCCGTCGCCTCCTCTCGGGCGGCTCTCGGCTGCGCTCCGGCGCCGACAGCATGTGAGCCGTTCCGATCGGCCGTCCGCCTGGAGGGACGCGTCTGTTGCGGGGAGAGGGGAGGGGGGGGGGGCTGCCGGTGCCCACTCCGGGCCGTGGTCGGCCTTCTCCCATCTGATGGCCGGAACCGCGCGTCACCGGTCACACCGGCGATCGCCACGAGATTTAGCCCGCGCCGCCGGAAGCCGGCCGCCGGCCGGCGCTTCCTCGATGAAAGCAAAGTGGCAGCGAATCCGGGACGGCGGAAGCGGTGACCTTTGCCGCCGCGGGGTCAAGGGTTGCCGAGTGCGCTTCGGGTGACCGGCCCGCCGCGACCCCGGTCCCAGGCTCTGGGAGAGATCGATTGGTTCTGTGTAGTGCGGTGACGTAACAAAGCCGACTGTGTTATGCTATAAACTTGTGGAAGGCATTGCACGTTCGCCGAAGAAGTCGTGTCCGGGCCTGCATGAACGAAGGTTGCAACTCATTGCCGAACTTAGTCGGTCATTGGGAACGTCGTATTCACGCCTCTGCCATGTCCAGTTTCACGCCTCAATTCCGGCTGACGCTGTTCGTGGCCATGCGAGCGGATTCGTGAGCCATACGATGCGGCGGGACGTGCTCCGGAGCCGGCGGCAGCCGTGTGTGTGTGTGTGTGTGTGTATGTGTGTATCGGCGGTGGGGGAGCGGCGCCGGCCGGCCGCCAGCGCCGCTCCGCGGTGCGAGAGGGCACGCCGCGGGCCGCCACGGGCCCGCGCGCCGGCGGCCGCCGCGACGCCGCGCCTCCAGTCGAGTGTCCGCCGCCGGGCCGCGCGGTGCACGGGTAGCCATGATCGGCGTGGGCATGTCCTACCCCGGATGGGTGACGCTGCCCAGGGGTCACAAGAGCCGCACCTTCCACCACTGCTACGGACGCTGCAGAATAGGTCAGTCATGCGGCCACATCGCCCCGCCCGCAGACCTGCCGTGCCGCAGGGATGACTGTGGGCAGGGCAGCTGGGACCGTACTTCGTCCCTTCTTCGTCTACGTTTCTTGTCTCGTTTGAATTTTTTACGATTAGGTCTACGGCACATTTTGGATTTCGCCGTAATTCCAGCAACGTTTTCGCTTTTGCATTCAGAATCTCAAGAAAAATTCGTGCGCATCGGTGCGTTGGGCGCGGTTGTCGGCACGGGCTGGGGCTCCTGCGGACACTGCGCTAACTCCCTACCAATCGCGCCGATGATGAACTAATGGCCTGTTTGCGCCGGGTGCCCCGCCAACGGGCGCGTGGCGGCGCACCGCCTGTGAACCCGACTGCAAACATTCCTTAGGCGCACCGCGGTCAGTAGTGCTGACCACAGGCTACGCTGTTGATCTGAGCGCAGGACAGACGCCGTGTGGCATGGTGTTGATGTGGACAGCGCACTGGATGGGTGCGCTATAGTTTGACTGCGAGCGAGGCCGCCGCCTGGGCTGACTGGGCGGGCTGCGAGTCTCGCTTAAAATACGGGAAAATTTCAGCTAGTCCAAGCTATCGCCTCCAGGCTTCCGGAGGCGATAGCTTTGCAGCTACTGATCACATCTCAGGTTGGTCACATCTCAATGCAGGTTTCTGCAATACGAAGCCCAGTATTGTTTAAAGCACGTGTGTCGTGTAAGGTTTTGGACCTGGCGTGGCTTTCCCGCGGCATGGCGATCGGAGCAAAATGTAGCATTGCTCCATCTATACATGCGAAAAGTGAGATGTTCAAATTGCGACGAAAAACGGAAGAGCGCGCCGTGAAACCGGGCTCAAGTCTCGTCGGGTCGAAGCGAAACCAATCTCAAAACCAGAAACCAGGCTCAGTTCTCATTGACGTCGTCGGAGCCGCGGGAGGCCGATACGTTCAGTAGGGGAGGAGACCAGGGTCAGCGGCGCGTGTTGTTAGAAATGTGCATCGGGTCACGCGCTCTCGAGAGAGCATCTGACGGTTCTGCCCGCTGCTGAGGGTGTTTGAGAATTGATGTCGGAACACCGCAGCTAGAGCCTCTGGCTGCCAGGGTGTACCATCTACAAATCGCTAGCATGTCCCAAAACCGTCTGACACGTAGGTGCGTCAGAAGGTCACCGGGGCATCGGCCAGTGTCACGGCTTCCGAGGCTGACCTTGAGCTCAACACGTCGCGTTTCAATCGAGGGAGATTGATACCTAGAGGTTGCATAGGTGATGAAGTCTGCAAAAATTGCGTGACCAAATACCCACACGATGTGTTTGCGGTTCCTCACAGCATGCTCGTCACAGTCACCCAGTACGGAAAACCTTGCCACATTTCTCTGTTTCGTGGATCGAAGTGGCTGGGCATTGTCTGGTCCGAATCCGGTTATTTTGTGAGCAAAGTCGCTTGGAGACTTACGTGGGAGCGCTTAACAATCACTTACGTCTGCCGGCCAAACTCAGGGGGAATGTAGTTCAATGCACTTGCGTTGACAAGGCTTTTGTGCAGGGTGTCCCAAGTAAGCTGGCTTCAATCTCTTGCGTTTTGTTTCCGTCTGCGCGATGATGGCACTCGCCGTCTGCTACCGCCGCTCTCGTCCCACGCCGCTGAGGAGGTCCCCGTCTGCTATCGCCGCTCTCGTCTGCTACCGCCTCTGGTCTCACGCCGCTGAGGAAGTCCCCGTCTGCTACCGCCGCTCTCGTCCCACGCCGCTGAGGAAGTCCCCGTCTGCTACCGCCGCTCTCGTCTCACGCCGCTGAGGAAGTCCCCGTCTGCTGTCGCCGCTCTCGTCCCACGTCGCTGAGAAGTCCCCGTCTGCTATCGCCGCTCTCGTCTCACGCCGCTGAGGAAGTCCCCGTCTGCTGTCGCCGCTCTCGTCTCACGCCGCTGAGGAAGTCCCCGTCTGCTACCGCCGCTCTCGTCCCACGCCGCTGAGGAAGTCCCCGTCTGCTATCGCCCCCCCCCCTGGTCTCACGCCGCTGAGGAAGTCCCCCGTCTGCTGTCGCCGCTCTCGTCCCACGCCGCTGAGGAAGTCCCCGTCTGCTGTCGCCCCTGGTCCCACGCCGCTGAGGAAGTCCCCGTCTGCTGTCGCCCCCCCCCCCTGGTCCCACGCCGCTGAGGAAGTCCCCGTCTGCTATCGCCCCTCTGGTCCCACGCCGCCGAGGAAGTCCCCGTCTGTTATCGCCCCTCTGGTCCCACGCCGCTGAGGAAGTCCCCGTCTGCTATCGCCCCTCTGGTCCCACGCCGCTGAGGAAGTCCTCGTCTGTTATCGCCCCTCTGGTCCCACGCCACTGAGGAAGTCCCCCGTCTGCTGTCGCCCCTCTGGTCCCACGCCGCTGAGGAAGTCCTCGTCTGCTATCGCCCCTCTGGTCCCACGCCACCGAGGAAGTCATGCTGCGGTGATCCGCATTAATCTGGCGTATTTTTGCCGCTGAGTTAACACTTGAACATGTCTGGTGGTTGCTGTTTGCGTCTTATTGTTATGCAAGTGCTCCAGTATTTCTAGAAGGTGATTAGCTTATAGGTCGGTCTTCTTCAATAATGAACGTGCAGTGACTGAGCGCTGTCAGAAGCTCCTTGTCAAGGCCGCGTGTTTGCCGCCGGGATGGTGGCGCGCGGGCACCAGCCGCCGACTGGCCGGGCGGAGCATGGCGTGCACGGTGCTGGGGTTCTTTGGCGACGCCGATGACGTCCGCCCCCGGTCGCGTGCTGGCTTTATTTGGCCGCAGCGGCGTGCTGGCCGTCCAGCGCGGCCGTTTTGGGAAAAAGGGCCGGCAGGCGGGGGCCTGCGCCCGGCGGGTCAGGCGGCGGCGTTCGGTCACAGCACGGCCGACACGGGACGGACGGGGGCAGCCTCAACGGATGTGATGGCTGTTACAAGCCTGCCGCACTGCTGTTTCTGCAGTGTCCCGTACTGCCCTGGCGATCAGCCAGCTCTGCGAACTGCGCTTGTGATCATTCGGTGTCGCGTACCGCGGTGTTGTCATCTAGCTTCACGAACTGCGGTGCTGACCTTCCAAGTGCGAGACGCACCAGTCTGGTCCGGGCCAGACACCTCTAGTCCAGACATCTCCAGTCCAGTCCAGTCCAGTCCAGTCCAGTCCAGACATCTCCAGTCCAGTTCAGACACCTCCAGTCAAGTCCAGTCCAGTCCGGTCCAGACATCTCCAGTCCAGTCCAGACACCTCCAGTCCAGTCCAAACACCTCCAGTCCAGTCCAGTCCAGTCCAGTCCAGTTCAGTCCAGACACATCAAGTCCAGTGAAAGACTCGATAATTCATGGTATTATGTTTACACTAGATAATTGTGGGTTCATTTGCTTCGTTAACGCTGGACGTCTCTGCTATTCCTGCTTTGGGGGGGGGGGGGGCTGGAAAAGAACGTCATACAGTACGGCAATTTTCGTAGCTTTTCTTGTAGTTTTTTTCTCGCGTGCTTCGTTCATAGCTCCGTTCTTAGCAGTCCGTTCTCTGAGGGCACGTATGTGGCTTCGCGTGAGCTGTTGACCGTAATATGTTCTGATACCAGCTTGCATTTTTTATACCCAGGCGGCCGGGGGACGTCGGGTGACAGTATTTTCTGTTCGAGTTTGGTGCATGGCCCGCATTGTTCGTGCATCGGCGTTTGAGTGTCCAATTTTCCTGGTTCGGTCTGTGGGATAGATGGGGAGATTGCAAACAGCAGTTGCATGCAAGCAGTTCATCCTTACCAAGTCGGAACTATGTGGGGAATTAAAGCCATGGACCGTCGTCGCGTGAGGCCCCTGTGCAGGTATTCCTGCCGGTGGGAAATCAACGAATTAGCATACTCATCACCCGCCGGTGCAAATTAATAATGCCTCAATGGCACCAAATTAGTGGCAACAACTTCCAGCGGTGAGATCTGAGCCGAGGACGTGCCAGCGCCGCGCCGGCGCTCGGCGTCATGACTGGGGCGCATTCCTCGTGTCGTCTGTCTGGCCCGCGAGCGCCACCCTCAGCGCGCCACCAGCCCTCGAGCGCGGGAAGTTCGTTTTGCATCGCGTTACGGGTGAGCTGCTGTGGGCTTCCGACCTTGCCAGGTGGCGACGCCGCCCGTGGGCGTCGTGCCCGGCCGCCCCGGGCGCGCTGTCGGGTGGCGCGCCTCCCCTGCCGTCCGCTGCCGGCGGCGGAGGTGGCACAGTCTGGCCAGGTGAGAGGGGCGTCCATTGATCTGTCGACCATCGATTGTGATGTGCCGGGCACGCGTTGGTACGGCGCCGGCCGTGCTGGCATCGCGCCGGTCCGTCCCGGCGCGGCGCCGTCGTCTGCCGGCTGCCGCCGCCGCCGCCGCCACTGTTGTCGCTGTCGCTGTCCGTGTCGCTGCCATGGGCTTCCTGGCCTCCAGTGAGTACGAGCTGCGGCGGCCTGCGCCGCCCGGCCGCCGGCACCGATCGACGACCGGAGGAAGGCCGGTGGTGCTGTCGAGGTCGGGCTTTAGGTGCCTCAGATTCCTGAGCGTTGCACGGGTATGAGAGCGTGCCACTGGGAACTGAGGCTGGTGAACACGTGGGGCAGGATTGGGCAAAGCACTGAGGACACCCTCTGAAGACGTTTGTTCCCCCTTGTGGCCGAACCAAATCCCAGTTTTGTCGTAAAGCCAGCCGAATCTTCGGCTGGCTTGGACGGCCTTCAGCTCGGCTTGCCCGCCGGCGTCGGTGGCACCGATGCTTTTCGTCGATGTATGCTCTGTGCCGGTGCCATCGACCGCTCCGCACCACGTGCCCTGCTCGCTGACAATTTGTTCGCTGTCGTGTTTGTGAGCCGGTCTGACCCGGACCAGACGCACCTTACGCCCCTATTAGACGGCCCGGCGAGAGCGGTGAATACCTGCGCCGCGGCGCGGGCCGGGCGGCCGCGGCGCGTGGGCCGCCCCGGTTGGCCGCTCACGCGGCGCCGCTCTGCCCTGCTTGACCGGTCACGTGTCACGACCCGCGGCGTCACATCCGGCGTCGGCGCGGCCCGGCGCAGGTCACCCGCGGCGAGTGCCGGCCGGCCCGCCGGGCCCCACGCGGCAGCCGCCGGCCGTCCCAGCCGATGCGGGCGCGTGACGTGCTCGCTGTGGGCGTAACGATTCCATAACGGCGCTGGCTGTGCAGCCACGCACTGCCCGGCGGCGCGTGCCGTGACCGCCGGCAGTTCCGGCGCCGCCGATCGTGATGCCCGTCGGCTGTATCACCTGCGACACACGCCGCCTCCAAACCCGCCCCGGTCACGCGCCCTCTGCGCCGCCCCGTGCCCGGGTGGCCCGCTGCTGCAGGCGCCGTGTTCGGCCTGCCGCAACGGCCCTGTTTGGCCGGCTCGGCGGCCGGTAAACAGGGCGGGTTACGCGGATGGGGCTGTAGCGCCGCCGAGTGCTCCTTTGTTTACGCGATGTCGTCCCGTCAGCGCGCGGGCCGTCGGCCGGGGAGGGAGCGGGCGAGGGAGGGGATTATCCGGCGGCCGTTCCCACGCCGCCGCCGCCGCCACCGCCGGGTGTCGGTGTCGGCGGCCGCGGGGGAGCCGTGTTTGGACCGGGAATTAGCGACCGCCCTCTCGCCGCGCTGACGAACGGTGGGAAGCGGCGGCGGCCGCACCGCGCTGGTACTCCCGGCGAAAGTGCTGGCGCGCGGCGCGAGTGGACGGCCGACGTGGCTGGGCGCGCGTCGGTGGGAATTTCGGTGCCCTCTGCCCGGCCTAACTACCGAAGCCATCCATTGTGAACGGCATTGTTACAGCCATACGCTCACAAAAAGCGGAGCCTTCTCTCATTAGTTGTTGACCCGCTCATGCTCGTCACCAATCACATGATGAAGTATTTGGCTGCCTTAAAGTGACTGGATCGCCAAGCGACGTGTTGGTGAGCTTATGCTTAGTATGATACCGAAAACAAGTTGTTCTATGTCAGCTGTTCTATGGGGTCGCGGTAGTGATGTACATTGTACCTTATCTAACTTTAGGCATGCCTCTCATTATTATCAGCCTTAAGTTAATGTCACGTCTGTTATTAATATGGTAGTGCTCATTTGGGAGGGGAGAAGTGATTTATATGGTAATGATAATGCCTTATGGCGCCACGCACCGAAGCCGGAAGCTCCCGTTGCTCAAATAACGGTATAGCATTCTCCATTGGTGTGACCTTATAAGCCAACGCTTGTGAGTCACATTTTCCTCAACGTGTAAGAAATAATACAGGAGCATTTTGGTGTGAGGGGACGTAACGCGCCGCCGTGGCGGCGCGGCAGCACGGTGGCTGGCCGGGTGGACGTGTCGCTGTCGCTGGCGGTGAGGTGAGGCTTACGTCCGGCCGGGGCCTGAGACCGACCCGTGTCCTGCCGGCGCCGCGCGACTGACGCCCCCCCCCCCGCGTGTTGCAGAGGCGCTGGTGGAGTACGACTACGAGGCGCAACACGCTGACGAGCTGACGATCCGCGTCGGCGACATGGTCACCGAGCTCACGCCCACCGAGCCGGGCTGGATGCGCGGCCGGCTGCGCGGCAAGGTCGGCGTCTTCCCGGACAACTTCGTCAGGGTAGGTCCGCCCGGACGCGGCCGACGGGGTCTGCCCTCGACGCCGGGCCGGTCCGGCGCTTTGGTGCGCGACGCGCGGATGTGTTATGTGGCGGAGGCGATGGCGGGTAGCCGCTGAGTCACCAAAAAAGGTTCGATGAATGTTGGACAGACGCGCAGCTGGCCACGGTTTTTTTTGCCGTCCGTGCGCTACCGATACGCTTATTAGGTCGGGCAACAAAGAGCGCCTGCCTAAAGAATTATCCGCACCATTGGCTTCCCGCCGTGCCCGGCCGGCTCGCGTGTGCATGCCGCGCCGCCGGCCGGGCCCGACCGCCAGTGGGCCGGCCGGCTCTGTGGGACAACAGCCGGCGCCGGCACACCACCGCACCTGGACGCGTCAGGAGACGGCCCGTGGCGGACCGTCACGGCGCGGGCGGCCGAGGCCGGGTGACGCCTGTGACGCCCTCCCAGCTGGGGTGGCGATGCGTCACCTGCCTGGGCGGGCACTATCGGCGGTCAGGAGCTGTCGGCTGCTGCAGAGGCCGCGGCTGTCCGTCCCCACACACCGTGGCACGGCGGCCCTGTGAGCTGGATCGGTGTTACTGCGAGCGGAGTCGACGGCGTCTCGCCCGCCGCTGACGGGGCCGGGTGTCGCGGCAGCGCCTGAGGCGCCGGGCGGCCGGCGTCGGCGAGCGCGGGACACGGCGGACGGGGCGCCGGGTCAGTAGTGACGTCACGGGCGTGGGAGGTGCGGCGACCGGCGACGCCACCGCGGGTCTTGCGTCACTCGGCGACGGTCTGATCGTCCGGCGGCGCGCCCTCCGGTCACGCGTCACCGGCGCGGATCGACACGGATTCGCCGCGCGACCGCGGCGGAGGCGCGCGCCCGCGGCGGAGGCGTGCGCCGCCGCCCGTGTGTGCCCTGCCGAGGCGGCGGCCAGCCCCGCGGGCCGACGCGGCGGCGTACGGCCCAGTCGCGATCTGGGTCAGCGGGCTGCCGCTTCCGGACCTTTGTTTAGCCGCGCACGGCGCCACCTGCCGACGGCCGCGCTCGGCGACGCCGAGCCGTCGGCCGGGACGAACGCCGCTCGGCCGGACCACGGCGCCGACCGTCCCGTCCTGACGGTCGGGCCTCGGCGCTGGCCGCCCCGTCCTGACGGTCGGACCTCGGCGCCAGCCGTGCCGCCCTGACGGTCGGGCCTCGGCGCCAGCCGTCCCGTCCTGACGAACTGCCGCGCGGCCGCGGCGCGGCCGGAGTCTGTGTCGCGGGACGCTGGGGTGCAGCTGGCAGGACGGCAGCGGTTCTGGCCGGGCACCGGACGTTGCTGGTCGTCGGTGCCGGGACTTTCCGACTTGCCACGCACCCGGACTTGCTAATAGGACTTTCGGCGCTTGGGAATACTTGCGAAGCCTGGTCGAAATGTTGCTGCTGGCTCGACACAGCATGGCGTGAAAGTAACGTGCTTTGTGAGCTTACAGTTCAGAAGCAGTTCTCTGGGCTTAAGCGGGCTCGTCCACCACTGCATTGCCTTCGCGACGCCGCAGGTTTGCTATCACACCATACTGACCTTTGGTCACCCTCAACCCTCGCTTTGCCGCTGACAGTTCCCGTCTGCGCGTTCCATCATGAGTCCTGAGAACTGAACAGGTCGACGATGTGGTTTCCTAATGATGGACCTGCTGAGCATTTGCGAGTTGTAACGATCGCATGCCCGGAAGAATTTATTGGCTCACGCCGGCTTCTGCGCAGAAAGTGGCGCCCTAACGAGCGCTGGGCGACTGCACATTGCGCAGAGGCGGGTCACAAAGGTCATGCGATCACACGGGCGGCCTGATTCGAATGACCCGGGCGCTGCTACTCTCTGGCCCTGATGGATCTACCCATCAAAGCCTTGCAAGGGCATGGTAGGATGCTCACCTGCGCTCATGCGACCCTCTTGTAGTTAATTTTACAGCCAAGAACCGTTGCTCTCATGTCGTGGACACTGGAGATATGCTTTGCTGTGAACTGTGCGGCATCCTTAAACCGCGCTGTCTCCTGGTGCTTTGACGTGAAGTTTATGGAGTTCAAACCAAAACATACATACGGGCCTTGGCCGATGAATGGCGTTGCCCTTTCAGCCTCGAGAAACCGCGTTCTGTCGTCTCGACCGCTGTTCGCGACTAAAATTGTTAAGCACTTCGGTAATCGCTGAAGTGGCACGCTTAGCGTAAGTGAGACTAATGGGATTAGTTGGCGGTACTTAAGAACATGGACGCACGCGCGGTGAACTGCAGACGCGGCCTCCGCCTGTCCGGGCCTGCGCCGCCCCGGCCCGCTCCCGACCCCGTCTCTCACGCCCCGGCCCGCTCCTGACCCCCCCCCCCCCCCCATAGCTCCCGGCCCGGTCCGCTGCTGACCTCCTGCTCTCCTGACCCGCCCCGCTCCCAGCCTACCCTCCTGACCTGGCCCATCCTCGCCGCCGACCATGCGATGGGCGCGCCGGCGGCCAGTTTTTCGGCGGGGTGGGGCGGGCGGGGCGGGGCGGCGCCATGGGCCCGGGGCGCGGCCGGGCCGTCCGGCCGGCCGGGGCGAGCGCGTGCGCCGGCCGCGGCCGGACCGGCGATCGTTAGCGTGCCGGCCGGCCGGCGACGCCACTCGGCGTCCAGGTGGCGCCGGCGCCGGGCTGCGCCGCGCCGCCGCACGCATGGACCTGCTAGCCGAGGTGAGTGCGCGCCGGCGTCGGGCCGAGGGGGCAGGTGCAGCGCCGCCGCTGCCTCCGCCGCCGGATGTGGGGCTGACGCGCAGGAGGCGCGGCGCCGCCCCCTGCCCGCCGCGCCGCGCCGCGTGTGCGGCTCCGGCGCGGCCGCCGTAACCGCCGCTGCACCGCTGGGCGGCCACTTCCTGCCGGCGGCGTCGCCGCTGCGGCGCCCGGCCCAGGGTCTGGCACCGGACGGCGCGGAGGCGGTACGGCCTGAGTTGGCGCCACCCCCGCCTTCGGTCGTGGTCTGCGGCGGCGCTGGTCCATTTCCGATTGTGCTGCGGCTTTCGTCATGGGGCAGGGGTCAGTCATGTCGCGTCAACTAATGATGTGACATGACTGTGCTCACGGTTGGTCGTTGTTGTCATTGGGGCTTTACGACGCACTCCGTATCTGACGCTCTGTGGCGTTCACTACCTATCCTGGCAGGAAGCGCGGACGCCGCTGGGAATTGAACCCCACACCTCTGGTTTCCCTTCCGCCTAGTGAAACCACCGCGCTGCTAGCATTCCCCAGCTTGGCCTTTCCCACGCTGATTTTGGGTGCTGCTCAGTTCAGTGCGTGAGCTATGTACGCGCAGTGATGCGCCTGAGGACGCCCGCTGTACCCCGCCCCTTCGCACCAAGCCCGAGACACCATCGGTCCAGGCTGGCGCCGCGTGCGGGGTCAGGTGTCTGTGACCTCCGGAGCCGAGCGGACGTCGCCGGCGCAGGGAACGCCGTCACCCGGCGCGGCGGACCGCGGGCCGAATTCCGCGGGTCATTAGCGACCGAGCTGTTTGCCGATCGGGCCGCGCGCGCGGCGGCTGGTCGGCTGGCCGGCCCGCGCTGTTTGCCGGCCGGCGGAAGCGGGCGCTCACAAGGGCGGCGCCGTGCCCCGGTCGATCTGGTGCCCGGAAACGGGCGCCGTCGGCCGAGCGATCGAACTGTCGCGTCCGCCGCCGGCCGCCGGCTTCAGTCACCCGACGCGCTGCCGCTCGGAGCGCGGTCTGTGCAGGGGCAGCGGCTCAGGGCTGGACATGATGTCCGTCCCCAATGGACATCGTATGCTGTCCGTGATGGGATTATGGGCAACGCGGGGTTTGACTGCTGCGGTGCCGCTCCCCGTTATCCGGGGTTTATCCGTCACGATGATGGCCTGCCTCTCCAGCCGCTGATCTGAGGGATTAAGGCCCCTCCCTGGGACGTGCCGTGGGAGTTTGTGGCTGCGAACGTCGGAAAGTAGCCCGCGCAAGTTCGAGCAAACAATGCAGGCGCGTGCAAGTCGCAGTGTTCCCAATCAGGCTCGCCGGAGAAAGTCAGCTGGGCGGATGACGAACGGGGAAGAAGTCCCGACGCTGTTGGACGGAGTCTGTCGGAGCAGTGCATCGCCGCCGCGTTCCGGTCTGCTGTGTGGACCTCGGATCACCCATCCTCCGAACCAGACCGACTGAGGCAGACCGTCGGCCGACCTTGCTCAGCTGCGGCCGGGTCCTGCGGCGTGGGGCCGGTCCCCGCGGCCTGAGGCTGGCACCGCGGCGTGAGGCCGGTCCCGTGGCATGAGGCTGGCACCGCGGCGTGAGGCTGTGCCCCGCGGCGTGAGGGCCGGTCCCGTGGCGTGGGGCCGGTCCGGCGGCGTGAGGCCGGTCCCGTGGCGTGAGGCCGTTTACACAGCGCCACGGGCGCCGCCGGTCCAGTCGTCTCTAGTCCCGCGGTCGATTGTCGCCGCCGCCCAGCTGTGACGGAGCAGCGCCGCGCGCTGGACGGCGGGCGCCCGGCGCCGTCGGCGGGCGAGCTCGGGCCGCCGGCCGACGCGACAGCCGGCGGGGAGCGGCGGCCCGCCGGCGCTCCCGACGGCGGCACACTGGGAAACACTAACTGGTGGCTAAGCTGGGCTTTCTCGGTCGGGGGGGGGGGGGGGGGGGCGTGCTGGGCGCCGCCCGCCGCCCGCCGAGACGCTCCCATCCGCCGACGTCAGTCTGTACCGGCGCGAGGCCGTCGCCGTGGCTAGGCTGGCAGGACGCCGGACATCTGGCGCCAGAGGCGACGTCGCGAACTGATCGGTGGGTGCGCACACAGACCCCTCATTGGGACACCGTGCCGCTAGAATACAACTTATACATTACGACTTATCACACATTGGAGGCCATGGTAGGTGTACTTCGCGCCACGCTCTTTGTGGGGCGCAGGGGCGACGCCGCGACGGTTAGGGGATTTGGAGGATGGGCGCCGTATGCCGTTCCCGCGGTGGACCTTTCCCACAGAGTGGACTCACCGCAGTGAAGGGGCCTCTGAGCGCACCACTGTCCCTTCACTGGCTGGACAAAAATGGGAGAGCACATTCCAGGACCATCAGTTTCTACGACCTCAGCGCAGCACCAATTTGCTTATAGTTCCATAAAAAACAAGCAACACGCGTGTGTTACGAATTATTGTGGCATTGGGGCTTTGTCTGAGCTACTGCACGGATCTGCTAGCAATCATGTAACGTACATCCTCGTGGTCAGAAGAAGACTTGGTCTCGGACTCGAAGTCATGGCGAGGGAAATCCAACGTTTTTTTAACGATCGGCATCCTTTTATTGTGGCTTGGCATCTTGTGGTTTACATAACCATTTGAGGGCAAATGTCGCTTTTTCTAAACCTTGCCGCATACCAAAGCCGCGCTTATTGCTTGATTAAAGGAAGTGTTCCATATTTGTATGCGTCTTCGAACTGGAATAGCGATCTCGAAGATCATTCGGTGCAGTTCACAACTTTGCCCGTCTTAAGACCCAAACCCCTCTAGTTCCTAAGATACACGCCCGCGAAAATGGGGATGCTTTTTCGGAGTGTTTCAAGATCACACAGGCATCCATAATGCCATAATAACGTCATTCAAATCCTGCCATTCCGTTAACCATGTGGTGATCAAGACCAATAAAAATATAATTGTCGAGTCGTTCATATCTGGCGTTCTTGAGAACGATTTTCAGATACAACGGCCGTCAATTTGTTCCTAATCAATGTTGTGTAAGGTCCGATGACTTCATGAAGAACTGACGTATTGAGGAGCGCATTAACCAAACAGAGAAATCGTCTTGTCTTGCAGTCTTTTCCACTTAGAAATATACCGATGATTGTAAGTTGCCTTATTGTATCTTCTCCGGTGATTGCTTCTGGATTATCAAATGTGGAGCATTCCCACATCGTGCATATATGTTGAGGCACGGCCGAGTGTGGCCCTGTAAGACGGCACATATTTGTGTAGTGTACAGCGCACAAAAACTTCTCATTGTACAAACACTCATTTACGTAATCATTGTTCGTAATGGCACACTTCCGGTCAACAACACACAAACGTTCACGCCTGTTTTACTCAGCTGAAACGCACATCTGAACATATCTCAGCTTTGGCCAGCCCTGCCACTGGAGGCATTCCGTCGTAACATGAACCCCAGCCGTCTCAAATGTAGCTAGGTCATCGTGGGAGCTTTCTCTCCGTCATCATGGAGCCTCGCGCCGTCCCTTGGCTCCCCATCACGCCAGATCCATTCCTTAGAGGCCACCTCTCGGCACGCCCTTGAGCCCCAATCATCATCATCTATCACCCAACCGTCTGATGCACAGAGTTGTGGCCTGCTGTCGGTCATGATGCAGGTCTCCTGCTCTCGGTCATCATACAGGTCTCCTGATGTCGGCCATGATCAGGTCTCCTGCTGTCGGTCATGATGCAGGTCTCCTGCTCTCGGCCATGATACAGGTCCCCTGCGATCGGTCATTATACAGGTCTCCTGCTCTCGGTCATGATGCAGGTCTCCTGCTCTCGGTCATGATACAAGTCTCCTGCTCTCGGTCATGATACAGGTCTCCTGCTCTCGGTCATGATACAGGTCTCCTGCTCTCGGTCATGATACAGGTCTCCTGCTCTCTGTCATGATACAGGTCTTCTGCTCTCTGTCATGATACAGGTCTCCTGCTCTCCGTCATGATGCAGGTCTCCTGCTCTCGGTCATGATACAGGTCTCCTGCTCTCGGTCATGATACAGGTCTCCTGCTCTCAGTCACGAGACAAGCCTCCTGTTTTATCTGACCTCTCAGTCTCTCAAGATAATTCCTAATTCAAATCAAGATAATTCCAGCATCCACCCGGTCATGAGAGCCGCTGCCTGCAGCACGATAACCCCTGACCACGTCTGGCTGTCCATAGCTGGGACCTCCTCTCCATCAATGCAGCGTTACGTTAGGGGTCATGGCCGGACCTGCTGACCGCGTCGTTGCCGCGTATCGCGTACATCACACACAGGGCTGTGGATGAGCCTCCCGGAATTTCGAGATGGGGTGTCCAGTTGTTGGTGCTCCATTATTGGCTGCGCGACAGCGCGCGCCGCGTAACCTCTCAAAAAATGATGTGATGGGCGACCGTGTCTGACTGCAGGGTGGGTGGCTGCTCATGCTGCCCACCCGGTGGTGCTGCCCCTGCTGGCAACCCTGTGGCAGACATTGGATTGGCGCCCCAGGCATCGCGCTGTTTGACGCGTGGATGTCAGTCAGTGGGCAACCGCCCGGGGATCGTGCTGGCCCGGGGCGGTCGGGCCATTCTACCCCGCATGGCACGTTAAAATCTGTCCGCACAAGGTGCCGTTGAGCTGGTGCTGGTGGCGAAGTGTAGTGCCCTGGCCTTCGCAAGGAGCCATGTTTAGCAAGGACTCTGATATCAACTTATTTCGCATAACTGTTGATTGTATGCTTTTTTAAAATCGATTATGAAGGCGGCACGACTGCGGTGGCTGAAGCGCGGCGGCCCGAACACGTGGCCGCGTCCCGTCCCGAGCCGACCGCTGACCTGACGCTGCCGCTCTGTTTCAGATGGTGCACCGCGACATGGCCAAGCCGCGACCCAAGCCGGCCGAGCCGCCGACCGGCTCGCTCAAGCCCAACGGCGTCACCAAGCGGCCAGGTGAGATTCGGCCGGCGCCGGACGCGGCGGCCGATTTCGTCCCGCTGTTCGTGGCCGGAGGCAGCCCCGCTCCCCCCCCCCCCCCCCCCTCCCCGATGAGCTGTGACGATGGCCATACAGCTTATTGTAGACTGAGCTCAACCGCGTGGGGCGTCTGATTAAGCCTCCATCCACCCTTCCTCGCTAGTTTTGGAGGGGCGCTCTATCGTCGGCACCATGCGAGGCCGGCGCCGTCCGCCACCTTGCGGCGGCCAGCGCGTCTCCCGTCTGCCGCGCCGGCCGCGAGATGTCGCATGCGGCCGCGCCACCCAGCCGCGCCGCGCCGCGCCGCGGCCCCTGCCGCCGTGGCGCGGCCAGTGCTACTCGCGCGCAGCGGCCGCACACGCGCCGCGCCGCCGTGCCGCGTCCAGCCGGCCTTGGACGGTGACCGAAGTCGGCCGTGGTGAGCGGGCGTCGCGCTCCCCGCAACGCGCTGCAATCGCGCGCCGTACGGCCTCGCCCGGTGTCGGCCTGTTATCGGCCGCCGTCGCCAGCGGGCGGCCGATACAACCGCGCCGCTATCGGGCGGGCGACGGGCGCCACACACGCGCCGCACGCTGCGGCCGGCACGTCCGCGACGAGTGCACGCACGGCCCTGACCCCGGCCCGGCCCGCCGCCCGGCTGACCCGCCGCCCGACGTGAAATCGATGGCGCGCCCGCCGGCCGGGCGCCGCTGAAATTCAGCTGCGCCGAGTTCCGCGACCGACCGACCGACCGACCGACCGACCGGCGGTCGGCGTCCGGCGTGCTCGCCCGCCCGAGCCGACGCGCGCCGCGGCGGACGTGCGTGTGGTGGTGCGTCAGCGGCCGCCGCCCGTGCCAGTGGTTCGAGCGGCGTCAGTGCGTGAGGCGAGATCGACGGCCGGACCTGCGCCATGACCAGTACAGGTATGTAGCGCCGCCGCCGCCGGCGTCGCCTGTGACGTCGCGACGCGGGGTGCGGCAGATGACGTCATGGCGGCGGCCGCGTGACCCGATGTCGTGTACGGATGGTGACGGCGAACGATCCGCTGCGGCCCCGGCCCGGCCCCGGCCCAGCCCGGACCAGCCCAGCCCAGCCCAGCCCAGCCCAGCCCAGCCCAGCCCAGCCCAGCCCTGCCCAACTCACCCAGTCCAGCCTAGCCCAGCCCACCCCGTCCCAGCCCGGCCCAGCCCGGCCCAGCCCAGCCCGGCCGCACCTCCAGACCTTAGGGAGGAGCGCGTGCTTCGTCGAGCAGCGGGGGCGGGGAGCAGATTTGCATGCCGGGCACGGGACACCGCCGCAGCTGAGGCGAGGGGGGGGGGGAGGCGACGTCTGGCTCGCGTTGGCGCGTGGCCTCGCTGGGAGAGAGTGGCTGGCGCAGCGAGGAAGTGAGAGCCGTCTCTGGAGAATGGGGATAAATCCGGCTCGTGCAACACCTCTGCGGTCGAGCCGGCACACGGCCGTCACGCTGGCGCTTCGTTGAGAGCCGACTCCCACGACATTCCCCGGCTCTCGTCGGCGCCGTCCAGTGCTGATCGGTGTGTTCGTGCAGCCGGTTTCGTCACGCGTGGCGCCGACCGGTGGCGGCCGGCCGGCTGTCGGGCCGGTGGTCTGTGCGGCGGGCGGGCGGCGTGCTGCCACCGTACCGCCGCGGACCTGTCGTCGCCGGTGCGGCGTCAAGGCCGCCTCTCCGGGCAGAGCGGCCCCATCGGGCGGGCGGGACTACGCCGGTCGGCGCGCGCGTACGGCGCCGTTCGCCGGCTGTGCCGCCGTCCGCACGTCCCGTCCCGTCCCGTCCCGTCCCGTCCTGTCCCGCCGCGCCGCGCCGCGCCCCAGGCCGCTTCGTCCCGTCGGACCCCGCCCCCCCCCCCCCCCCCCCCCCTGCCCCCGTCGCTGTGTCGACGGAACGGGCCAGCCTTTGGACGGACGGCGGCGCGGAGCGACGCCTTTGTGTACTCCGCCACCGGCATGCTGCGCTGTTTGGCGACTGGGGAGGGGAGCGTCAGCGCTTGACAGACGCGCTGCGGTCACCGTGCTCTCACCGCCCCACCGTCAGGCTTGATGTATTGACTGAGCGTTTCGCCCCACCTTTTCTGTAATTTTCCGTATTGACACTGGAGAATCCATCGCGTCGCGACCTCGTGCTTCGCGCTCTGGGCGGCTTATCGGGTCTCTCCTACCTCTCAGTGGAGTAGGCTGAGCTCATTTGGAGTGCTCTTTGCCAAGCGTCGGAAGTTTGGGAGCACCACAGCGACCCTGACGTCGATACGCCGAAGGGTTGCGCATCACATAGCGTGCCGTGGAAGCTTGCCCGACGCCGACTGGTGGGCCGTCGGGCGTCGTCGGACATTGCCGCTGTCGGTGGGCCCGGTCGTGTGGTTACCCCATGGGCCATGTCACGCCATACTGGCGGCCGGCGGTGGGCAGGGCGGCCGCGCGGCTCCGCCGACGCCGCCGCTCCAGACGCTACCCCGGCCGCCGGTGCTGCCTCACAGGCTCGGGCTCCGGCACTCCGAGCTCGGTCCGTCCGTCAGGCCGGCCATATCACCTGTTCCGCCACAGTGCCACGGCCTCGGCTCCGTCAGCTTGTCGTCGCGATCTCTGCCTGCAATCCGGTTTCCCGTCAGTTCCCGTGTCTGGTCTCCGTCAGTTTGTCTATCGGAGGCGCCGGTGTGAGTGTCTCCGGCGTGCCGCCGATAGCCCGAGGCGTGTTGGCCATCCAGAGCGTGACGGTGTGCGGACGATTAGATTGTGTCGTGCTAGCCCCATCAGTATTCGCGTCGATTAGATAGCTATCACTGTAAGCGTTCTGTGGCGGCGACACCGGGCCCGACGGCTAGCGCCCGTGGCCGTGTAGCAGTGCTTTCGCGACCTAATGCAAGACGATGACGCAATAATCCGCCAGGAAAATATGCATCGCACGAGGCAATAACAAACAGGGTCATCTCGCTCCCGGGAGCGCCTCGCGCGACGCAGGCGTGTTGCGTCACCTGCCCCGGGCCCGGCGGGCGGCGGCTGACGCGGCGCCCTCCGCCCTCCGTCGACAGGCCGCCGGCGCTGTCGCGCCCTCTTCAGCTACAGCCCCGAGAAGGCCGACGAGCTGGGCCTCAAGCTGCACGACATCATCGACGTGCTGGAGGAGGTGGAGCCCGGCTGGTGGAAGGGCTCGCTGAACGGCAAGGTGAGAGTGCGCCGGCGCCGGCGGCTGGCCGGCGGCGGCTGGCTGGCCGGCGACTGGGTGTCAAATGGTTCCTTTGTAGCCGGTAGCTGTTCATTTGGATATTGTGTAATTTATCACAGCTTCCCAAACGTTCGTAAGAATATGTTGTCTCACGCCGGAGTGATCAACCTTGATAGCGCAAGATAACTCAGGAGTCGGCGCGCGCCAAGTCGGTGGGCGCCCAGCGCTCCTGCAGCGGCGCGTCCGCGCTCGGCCCTGCCGGATCCAGGCTGGCGACGGCGCGCGGTCCGGTTCGTCGCGCCGGGATGACAGGGGCGGCCGTCCTGAGCGGGCGAACCGGTCGTCCGTCTGCACGGGCGGCTTTTTTGCCAGGTGTCTGGGCGCATTGGGCCGAGTCATGCCGTGTTCGTGTGTAGTGCGCGGGTGGCGGCGGTGCTCAGCGTGGCAGACAACGGCAGGGCTAATGGCTGTTTACCAGGCCAGTGTTCGCGTAGTCTTACGGTCAAAAACAAAATGAACGCTTCGTTTGGTTCCCCGGGACCACACTGACCTTGCAGCCGTGGTTCTGGTGCTCTGTTTGGGTTTTGCAACCCTAACGGTAGCCAGATGCAGCATGCCGGGCTGGTTTGTTGCGCAATTTTCATACCGCGCCAGTGAAAACAACCAATGTTTACATTCCAGATATTGGAATAACACGTCCTAAGCCGAAACATAGGTGTTTTGTCTGAACTATCGTCCTCGTCTGATGTACTAGTTACGCAACGTTTCGTTGAGGAAATCCTCCAGTCGTCTTGACGTGTTACGGGGTCTTGATGTGATGCTGGTTGGCAGCGAATGATGCTTGGCCATGGACCAGCTTTGCGTCACAACGGTCATGCTCTCTTTCGAGAATTCCTGTTCTGATCCCAGGAATTGCTGGGATTCGAACCCCGCGGCTTCTTGATTGTAAGTCCAGTGTTCTGTCAACTGATCTAACCGTAAGGACTCCTCATTGCCTGACAACGGCCGCAGAGTGTACTGGCCCAAACTGACACACTGACACACTAAGCGAGAACGGTAGTCCGAACAATGATTTAATCCTTGGTTCCTGATGCCTCGCTGAGATCCCGTAAAACTATAGGCTTTTCGCTGAGTCTCAGAGTCCGATGGAGGGCGAAACAAGATAACAGTCAGAGAGCAAGGAGTCATAGCGAGCAAGTGTGAAGCGAGAAAATCGCGGACACACGTACCGCATTGTTTACTTTAGTCGCGTGTTTGTCCCAAATCAGCCTCGCGGCCACGCCAGGCCACGCCAGACTCGCCAGAGATGCGTGACCAGAGCAGCATGCACACCGCGACCGGTGCCCAGCAGTCGTCCTCAGACACACCACGGGGACAAGCACACCGCAACGAAACCTAATATACCTGGCTGTCGGGAAACTTGTCCAAGGCCGTTGCCCGGTGTTGAGAGCGTCGTGTTTTCCGCATGACTGAGCGGTGACGCGGGCGGCCGGCCGGCCGTTGCGCAGCCCGGACCGTCCGGCGTGGGCCGGGCTCGTGCGGCGCGGCGCCGTCGCCCCCCCCCCCCCCCCTCCTCAGCAGGCGGCGAGCGGTGGGTCGGGGCGTTGCGGATGCTGTGAAGCACTCTGAGGTGGCGCCGGCAGCGCAGGACCGCCCAGGTCTGGCGGCGCAGTCGTGGGTGTAATCACGCCTCGGTGACTGGGGACGGTCGGGGCTGGTCTAGAGGGGGAGGCGACCAAACTGAAAGCTGAGCGGGGAGACAGCGTGGCACGGAAGTATGTTTTGCATGATTAAACAGAACTTGTATGCTGCTAGCCAAATTGGAAAGGACAAAATCTCATTTGGGGAAATCTCAGATTAAATCTCATTTAATCTCTAGCCAAATTGGTGACACCTGGCCCCAGTAGTCACCACCGTGGGGCAATGGCTTGCTGCCGCTGCCGGGCAGTGGGCAGTCTCCACACCGCGGCGGGTGGCGGGGTGCTGGCGATGCGGGGCGTGGGCGGTCTTGTAGGCGCCGCGCTGCCGGTGCCGCCGGCGACAGAGCCTCCAGAGCCCCTCCCTCTCGTAGCCGGTCGGGCCGCCGCGGTATGGATTGACTGGAGGCAGGCCTGGCTCGGCTGGCCAGTGACTCAACGGGCCGGCCGGCGCACAGGAGCGGCTGGTCACGTGCTCCACCCCACAGCGCTGGCCGCCAGGTCACGTGGTTGGCGCTCAGCGCGCGTCGCGAGTCACGTGCCCCCACGCGCAGCGCTGCAGTCATCGGATCATGTGGTCCGGCGCGGAGCACTGGTGACGGGTCACGTGGTCTGCCGTCCGGCACCGGTGTGGGATTCTTTCCGCGCCGCCGTGGATCTCAGCGACTGCAGAGGCCGGATCGGGCCGACCCCGTCTGCCTGCCGGCCGCGGGGGTCGGCCCGGCGCGGGCGGCCGGCGGCGCTGCCAGTGACCTTGGGTCGGCCGCGCTGGACACGCTGTCGCGCCGCCGCTCCGGGCTCGCGCCCGGCCGCGGCGTGCGTGCTGTGGCCCGAACCATGCAACGCTGGCGACGTATCGCAGCGCCTGTTGCGGTCTTTCCCGCGCTGACAAGGTAGCGGCGGTACCTTGGAAGCGTTGCAGCGGCCCGCGGCGGCCGCTTCGGCTGCCTGTGATTGATTGAGGCCTCGCGTTGTCGCACTCGCCGTGCGGTGCGCGTCGCAGGTGACGTCACTGTGCGGAGGGTGACCTCTGACGCCGCGTTCGACCGCCAGGTGGGAGTGTTCCCGTCGAACTTCGTGGAGGAGCTGGCGCCGGCTGCCGACACGGAACCCGTGCAGGAGATCAAGCCGAAACCGTTGAAGAACAGCGGCGGCTTGGGCGACATCCTGCGAGAGGGGAGGACGCGACCGCAGCTGCCCCGGCCGCCCGATCCGGCCGCGGCAGCGGCCACCGACACCCCGGCCCCGCAGCTGCCGCCCAAACCAGGTCAGGGCAGCCGCCGGGGCGGGGACGCTCGGTGGCGCCACGTCAGGAGCCCGTCCCTGGGTCACTGGTCAGGGACTCCGTCCCTGGGTCGCTGATCAGGGAGCCCGTTCCCGGGTCACTGGTCACGCAGAGCCCGTCCCCGGGTCGCTGATTTGGGAGTCCGTCCATGGGTCACTGGTCGGGGAGCCCGTCCTCGGGTCGCTGATTTGGGAGCCCGTCTCTGGGTTACTGATCAGGCAGAGCCCGTCCCTGGATCGCTGGTCAGGAAGCCCGTCCCAAGGCCACTGGTCAGGCAGAGCCTGCGCCCGGGTCGTGAGAGCCCAACGGTGGGCCAGCGACGAGACGCCGTGCTCTGCTTCCGCCCTGTACAGATCACTCCTGTGCTGTGAGTCGTCTGGCGGCCACATCCTGGCATCCGCCGCTCGCCGCCAGCTGTTTCCGGTCGCTCGCCCCCCCCCCCCCCCCGCCCTGCACCCCACCGCCCCCACGCTTGACATCACGGCATACACCGCGGGGAACTGGCGCGCCCGTAGCTGGACGGTGACGCTGACCTTGTCTCCGAGGAGAAGGCGATGAGTGGTCTCGGTGGCGACTGAAGTCCTAGTACAACTGCCGTAAATAAACAGTGTTTTTCACGCGGTGTCGTGCCGGCTTACGCAAACATACTGACGAACGCGTGGAGCGGACGCGTTGGTCGCGCGCAGTGAGGGTTTGACTGGGGTGAGGTGTGTCGCGGATTAATTTGACCGCATCGTGAGCTGGCCAGTGAGTGTCTGTAACGATGGCTGGAGCTGTGTGACCTTGTTCCATCGTCACTAGAGGGACGATCTGGGTTCGATGTTCCCGCTCCCGTGTTTTGTGGCTCAGTGAAGGAGCGGTGTCCGACGCCGTGTGGGACCGTTCTCCGTGCTGAGCTCCCAGCGGTGGGAGAGCGTCGAGCGCCGCGTGACCGTGCCGCCCGCCGTGTGTCCCAGTGAAGGAGCTGTGCCGCGCGCTGTTCGCCTACCAGCGCCAGAATGAGGACGAGCTGACGCTGAAGGAGGGCGACGTCGTCACCATCGTGTCCAAGGAGAGCGAGGACAAGGGCTGGTGGCGCGGCGAGCTGGCCGGGAAGGTCGGCGTCTTCCCCGACAACTTCGTGGAGGTCATCTCGACGGCGGAGGTGGGCTCTCGGGCGGCCGCCGGGGGTTTGAGGGACTAAGCCGCTTCAGTCTAAAAGCACCGCGCAGTGAGCAACGTGGTAAAATTCTGACACAACTCAGTGCTGTTTGGACAAGCCATTTTGTCACTGTCATTGTGTTTTCAGCCGCTGCAGTCAAGGCTTCAGACTCGTCCAAGCCTGTGGTCGCCCCCAACACGCCCAGTTGACCTTCCGGCGTTCACTGTTGATTGTACGCCGTCTGTGCCAACGGCGGCTGATTTGTGTCCCAGCACATCCGCCGTGCGAGCTCGTATCAGCGCAGCGACCTATGGCGGGTATTTGCCGCCAGCTGGTATTTGCCTGGAACGCCGCGCGCTAAAAAACAATAGGCTTCCTACAGCGTGCCAACCACGGAGTGGGTTCGCCCCGAGTCGATGCCGGCCGGAGACACGCGGTGCATGAGCTGACTCAGAGTCAGTGAGTCAGCGGGCCACCCGGGCCGCCGCACGCACCCCCGCGCCGTCCTGGGCTAGCTGGGTGGGCGGGGGGCGGGGACGCTAGAGGCGCGGCGCCGGGTCGCATCCGGCTCCGGACCCAGTCGGCGCGGCTGTGGAGGGGGGGGGGGGGGGGGGAGGGGAGGGGAATGACGTCGCCTTCTCATGAAATCGGCTGTTAACGGCTCCAAAGCATGCTCAGCTGCGAATAGTGCGAACGACTTAGCGGTGGTTCAGTGGTAGTAGTTAACGTTGTCAACGGTGGTAATGTTTTATCCGCTCTTGGGTAGGAGTTTGCTCTGACAACGAGTGGGAGTAAGGTGTGAGGTTTGGGACTGCAAAGCCAGTTACGGTTCGAAGTACTGTTAAGATGATGGTATCTAAATCACCCATTGCGCTGGTTTTAATGACCGCCGCTGCAGTACTCCCAGTCTACTGCGTCCAGTGTGTCCAGTTCGCTGTGAACCCTTTGTGACTGAGCTGCGACGCTGAGGCTGCGGCTGCAGTGATCGATGGACCGTGTTCTGACGCCGATCGGCTCACCTTGACCGGGCCTGCGCCGGCTGCTGTGCGCGCGCGTGCGGACGTGTCGCACGCGCCAGTCACGCGTCCCCTCTGTCGCCCGCAGAAGCCGGCCCGGCCCGACAAGCCGCCGTCCAAGCCGCTCACCAAGCCGGAGGCGCCACAGGCCACGGACAGGCCGGGCAGCGCCGAGCCGGCCGGGCCTAAGCGGGCGCCGTCGCTACCTCAGCCGTCGGCCGCCGGTCGGCCCGCCACCGGTCAGTAGTGGCCGGCAGGGAGAATCACTAGTCATGAGTCACGAAGCCGGTGGATCCAGCTGCGCTCGGTGCGGTATGCATTATGCACGGGGCAGGTGGTGAGGCGGGCGGTCCTCCACAGCGCGGATGTTTCCTGGTGTCGCGGTGTGAGTTCGTCGCGCCGTGTATCTGTGCCGGCTGATGCGTGCCGACGTTTCAGAGTCTCCCGGAGAGGCGGGTCGCGTGCCAGCCATGTCGCCCCCTCCCCTGCCGTCCACGGCGCCGCCGCAGCCATCCGCAGCCCCCTCCCCGCCCCCGGCCAGCGCGAAACCCGACCCCGGCGCGTCGGCGCCACCCCCCGCCCTCCCGAAGACGCCCCCGCCCAAGCCGACCTCCCCCAACCACGCTTCCCGCGAGTCGACACCGCCGGCCACGGCGTTCAAGCAGTCGGCTAAGCCCAGCTCCCCGCCGCCGCCCGCTCCAAAACCGGCCGTCCCGCCGCCCACTAACACGCCCCATTCTGAGCCCACTAACACGCATGTCCAAACAGAGGTGGCGGCGCCGCCGGCCGCCGCGCCGACCAGCGTCACCGACGGCGCCAAGAAGGCGGGGAAGCCCGACGGGGACACGAGTCTAGGTGAGGCGGGTGTGGCGCGGCACTTGATGAGGACGCCGCTGGTCGTAGCCGGCGTCTTATCGTAATGATAGGCCAACGCCTTCGCATGCGTTCCTTTTTATAGCGTACGCCTGGCGCGAAAGCGATGATCGATTTTCTCGAGAGTTGTCACTGAGCCGGGCCAGCTGCCCGTGAGCGTCGCTGGCGGCGGCGGGGTGTCCGCGCCGCGCGTGACGAGCGCCTCGGCCTCGCTGTCGGCCGTCTGTGCGGCCTCGCGCTGACGGCCGGCGCCCGACCCGCAGAGGAGTTCGACGCCGTGGAGCGGGGCGCTGATCGACTGACGCACATCACGGCCGACCGCGCGCGCGCGCCCGGCCGCCGGCCCCCCTCCAGCATCTTCGTCCGGGAGAGCGTGAGTTGGCCGGCGCGAGCACCGCACCTGCCCCCGGAGACCCGCGGACGCGGCGGACAGTGACCCGGCTCAGCACGATGGGTCGGAGACAAGCTCACAAAGTTTGGGCACCCCTGCACACTAGGTGTGGTAGATTGTGAATGTCGATGGCTGTGCACCAGCACATGGCTCTGCCCGACGCTGCACGGCGTGTTTTGCTAGCTGCACCGATTGATGGTTGCGTGCCCGACTCGCTTGTTGGCGACCAGTCTCAGCCTACACCTCGTATCGCTCACTCTCAGCTCTGTAGCCTAGCAGCACATAGCAATTCTGCCGAAAGTCGCTTTTGTAGATTGCACTGCGTGTTGTCCCGCCGCGCGGGGCAGCGTTCCGACTCGATCGCTCGCAGCTTAGTGTGCCTGTGCCCTCCACAGATGTCGCCACAGAACTCGCCGTCTCCCTCGACGCCCGTGGAGACGCCTGTGTCAGAGGTACATGGTCGGCTTGTTCGGGTGCCGCCATCGGTCCCGGGCGGGTGGGGGCCGAGGCTGTCTGTCCGGGCGCCCGCATGCCCGTGTGTCGGTACGCGGCCGCCGCCCGCCGCATGCCCGTGTGTCGGTACGCGGCTGCCGCCCGCCCAGCCGGCCGCCGCAGGGCGGGGCGGGCCGCCGGCCCGCCCCGCCCACAGCCGGTGACCGATGGCGCGGATGGTGGGTGAGGCCGGCGTCTCCTCTTCCCCGCCCGCTGAGATCGGTGTCAGAACAGCCTCATGAGTGTACGTTTGTCCCGCACGGTCTGTGAGTGTGAGCTCCGCTCCTCCCGTGTGGCTCCGCGGGTGAGAGCGCCGCTCCTCCCGTGTCGCTCCGTGGGTGAGAGCGCCGCTACTCCCGCGTCGCTCCGTGGGCGTGAGCGCCGCCCCTCCCGTGTCGCGCGGTCGCAAACGCCGCGTCCGCTGCGGCGGAGTGGGCGCGGTGAGCGCGGCCGCTGACCCGGCTCTCGCGCCTCGCCGCCAGGAGCCGGAGCTGGTGAACGGCTCGGCCGAGCGCGACGGCGCGCCGGTCGCTTCGCCCACGGCGCCGGCCGCGCCGCCCTGGATGAAGGAGCTGCAGCGCGCCCAGAACAAGCGCATCTCGCGGCTAGGTGGGTCCGGCCTCTCGCGCCCGTCCGCCGAGGGCGGTCCGCGGATATTATGTGTGGCGCACGTATGTGCATGCTGACACGAATACCGCACTGGAGTCCAGGGTCATGCGACTCAGACGGCAGCAGGCACCGAAGGCAGCGTAATGCCACAACTGATGTCATCTGTCATGTTCTCTCCCTGTCTCTATCGGTCGTTAGAGAGATCGTCACGGCACGGAACGTAGTACACTGCGATAATCGCTGTTTGAGTCCGGGTTTTGTGTGGCGTTTGACACAACTTAGGGGCGGGAAGATGGGAGGCTTAACCCCCTCCCCCCCCCCCAATTTGCTGGAAGCTTAGCATTGACACTATGTACGTTGTTTAGAAAGAAATGACAAAAAAAAATGTATATTGCCCCCATCCACGAACTTGGGAGAGCTTCCATCTCCCCAACACGGGATCATCAAAGCAGCATCGCAGTTTGAAATTAGTTGTAAACGGCACCAGTTGCGTGACTTGTGCAATAATCAAGCCAAGCTGCTAATGTGAGTCACAGGGTGTCCAGTACTGCCACTTGATTTTTTAGTGTCTGAAACCGGCGCATGCGACGCACGTCACGTATGCGGTTATTACGTTCTCGTTCTGGGACAACCAGTAAAGCTCATAAGATTGAGCTTCCGGGTGATCTTGCCGGAAAGGATGATTGCTAAACCGGGCGGGCGTTCCCACTCGTACCGGCTCCCGACTGACTGCCGCTGGTCGGCTCCGCGCGCTGTAACGCTGCTGCTGCATTGTGTGGTGTTGTCGAAGGTGGATAGCTCTCAGCTGCTTGTACTTCTGTCAACGCGGCATGCGGTGCTTTATTGAATATGTAGCTCAGGATGCATGTATCGTGCTGTAGATGTATGCACATTCCGGCTGGAGCACAAGCCGCCGACCCGCGTAGCTGCTTGCTCACTGGCTGCCTGCTCACTTATGCTCGAGTTTGGCCGTTGCCCCCATTCGTTGCCTGTCTCCCTACGCACGCCGCCAGGCGGTGGCCTCTTGCGCGACCGCCGGCCTGGCCCGAGCGGCGGCGCCGTGCCTGTGGTGGCCGCTTGTAGAGCCCGTGTTTCTGCGCCGCTAGTGGAGACCGATGACGATAAGATGGAGCAGCAGACGACGGAGCCGGCGGCGGCGGCCGGTCCCGCCTCCGCCGCGCCGCCGCCCTGGATGCGTGAGCTGCAGCGCGCCCACAGCAAAAAGCAGCCGGCGCCGCGACCCAAAGGTGCGACTCCGGGCGGACTCACGAGCGCCAGCGACCGGGGTAGGTGGCTGCGATTGGGGCCTGGGTGGTGGTGTGCGCGCCGCGGCGGGAGTCGCGGGTCGGCGCCGCCGGCCGCGGACGGCCGCCGCATGTCGGCGAGGCTTGCGAGGCGCCCGACGGACGCTCCGGAACGGGCGGCGCGACGGCGTCCGAGCGCGGAGGCCGCCGGCAGCACGGCCGGGGCGAGCCCCTGCACCGTGCGATGCCGGAGGCGGCTGACCGGACGCGGCGCTCTGTTGCAGACGAGGAGAAGGCGGCCGGCGAGTCGCGGCCGGCGCCGGACGCCGCTGACGCTGCCGCCGCCCCGGCCGCCGCCCCCGGCCGGCCAGCCAGGCCCGAGCCGCCGTCAGAGGGTGAGCGCGGCGCTCCGGCTCCCGGCGGCGTGGAGTGGGCCTGAAGCTCGTACTGCGGCCGCTTCCTGACCGCCCTTGAATGGGGTTGCATTTGGGGCAGTTGGTTTGGAGGTTGTGTTGCGTGTTGCCGCTGCTCCGTGCTGCATGGCGGTCCGCTGACGCGTCTCTGTCCCTGCAGTGAAGGCTCGGAAGCCGACGGCCCGCGTGCCCGTCGCCAAGGCGGTGGAAGCGGCAGCGCCGGCCGCCGCTCCGGCCCGACCCGCGCTGCCGGCGTCAGTGGCGGCGGTGGCGGCGGCCGTCGCCGCTCCGCCCGGCCGGCCGACCGACACGCGAGAGCTGCATGAGGAGTGCAGCCGGCTCCAGAAGCAGCTGAACGAACAGGTGAGGCGCTGGGCCGGACGCCGTCGGTGGGCGCCGCCGGTGTCCGCAGTTGTTATCTCGCTGCGCGGTCCCCGTTTGTCTGATTGCGGTGAACAAAGGTTTGATTGTTCTTATGTGACTCCAAGGGAGCTGGGCCTGACAATCCTTGTCCTCTTGTCGATCCTTGTCCTCTTGTCGATCCTTGTCCTCTTGTCGATCCCTGTATGTGACTCGTGAGCTCGAGCTCGAACATTCCGTGTGTGGATTGCGAGGCCGGCAAGCAGCAGTCTGTTTGCGACTCGAGGCGCTCAAGTTCATACTTTGCATGCATGTGTCTGGCAATCCTGCGTCACAGCAGTCCATATATGAATGCTGACCTTCGAGTTCAGGTGTGCAGTGTGCGACTCCTTACGCTCGCGTTCCGTCTCCCCGCACGTGCGTGAGTGGCCTCGTCCGTTTGCGTCTCGCCGCGCGGGCCGGCCCGAGTTGTGACGGTCGGCGTCGGGGTCGCCAGGCGCGCCAGTTCTCGGAGGCGCTGACCGCCCTGCGAGCCGACTACACCAAGCGGATGCGAACGGTGCTGGACGAGCTGGACGCCGAGAAGAAGTCGCGGCTGGTCATGCAGGTGCAGCTCGACCGGCTGGACAAGCTCGTCAAGGACATGAACTTCACCGTGTAGCGGCGCGACCGCGTCCCGCGTCGGCACCGGCCGTCCCTGTTCGTTCCCAGTTGCCAAACCGCCGGCGCGCCGTCAAATCCCCGTCTGTAGCCTAGAGGGGGGCGCGAGCGAGTAAATCCATAGCGTTATACTATATAATATATGAGGCGATGTAGAGTGGGATCAGTCGTTCACCGCTTGCGAGACCTGATTGCGAGGCGGCGCGCCCGCGTTTGCAGTCTCATGCGACCGTCGCGGGCGCGGGCCCAGTCCGCCGCCCGGTCGAGCGGCGCTGCGCCGCCGCCCGCCGCCAAGTGCCCATGCTTTTAAATCATAGACCACCGTGTGAAGTCTGCTGATGTGATATGGAACGTTCCCGCGCCCAGATCGGCTCGCGCCCCGCGTAACGTGTGGTGATCTTGTTTGCGTGATTCCTGTTCCGTTCTGTTGCGAGAGCCGCGAATCGTTCGAGGCGCGCGCGCGTGTGCCTGTGTTCACTATGCCCGCAATAGGTGGAATTCTGTTGGGGCCGCGTCACGTGTTGTTGCCATTGCGGGCTGATTGTGCTCATTCTCGCGGCTTTTTACTTTGCATGTCGCAGCAATGAGACCGGGCTCCTCGTGCTAAATCATGGCGCTGTATTTTCTGAGTAGGCGATTACATTTTTATGGAACTTCGGAGCGTGTTTTGTTGCGCATTCGGGCTGAGGAGTCTCACTGGGATGTGGCTGAAATCTTGCCCATCAAATGTCACTCATCAAATCGTCAAATACGCTTATCAAAAGTGAAGCCCTTATCAGCATGCCACGTGTACATAGCCCGTCTGTTGATCAGACTGACACTATATATCCCCGCTTTCAGCGCGGGGTGTTGGGATGCAGCGTTCTGTGCTGTTCGCCTGGCGTGCATCAGTGACGCAGCCATCTCCCCTGTTAGAACAGTTGTGGTCATAACGCATGCAGTCGGATATCCCACACCGAGCACGCATCTCAACCTCCAAGCTTGCCGCATTCGCGTTTTGTGGCATTTGCGCCCGTTACGTCCGCTCAACTCACTGGAGCAGGCGTTTGGCGACTGGAAAGTCAGTTCGGGGTCACACATGCCTAGAAATAGTGGGTAGCACCCACGCGTCCAATCGGTTCAGAATGCGGTGTTTTTTGTTTGTTTTTTTGCTAGGCCGTGTCCACCGTGCGTGACAGCTGCCAGCAGCGATCATTCCATCACATTGTTATTCGCTTGCTGCCCCGTCCGTTACAGTACAGACACACAGGCACTTCGGCTGCTCCGACGCACGGCGCGTGACATTGTAACTTACCGTGACAACTGCACAAGTTTAGCGCCATGCAATCACGATTTCACGCGAGGGGATGGTGATAGCAGTACCCATCACTTGCGATAGGTGTTTTAATGACATGGTGATGCATTTGGACGGGGACGTATTCAAGGCGAACATCAGAGCACGTCCCCCTCCCGTGACAAATTGCTGCTTGCCGGTGAAAATGTGGGGCCGTCAGAAAATTGCGTTGCACATGTCCAGAAAATCCGATACGCACAGAAGGGGTGTGCAGGACGTGACGCCTCATAACGGAGGCGTGCGGTGTCAAAGGAGGGCGAGGCTTTTGACAGTAAAATTGCTCTTGCGTGTTTTGCAAGTCATGCTAAAACCTTTGAACACAAATCAAGCCTTGCGGCCGGATGCTATTGACTTTCGTTCATGACAAGGAATGTGCCCGTTATTCCTTGCATGCAGCGTTCCACCAGGGATTTAATCGGCAACATTTTCTTGGGACGGTTCTATATACTCAACATAGCGTAACCAGGATGGGAGTGGGTTTCACCCGACGTAACTAAAAGAACCTCGGCCAGGATGAGTCTTAAGGCCCGAAGCTCGGTGGGCGCGCATCACGCCGAATTTTAATATTCTATCGGGAACCCTCAATGATGAAAAATGAATGGGTATGATTATGTCGACCGGCTATGGGGCCCAAGGGGACATGACCCCGCCCCCTCCCTACTCTGGATTCGCCCCTGAAATCCGATTAGTATTTCGCACCGGTCGCCTTTACAGCGACTTCCAAGACCTGACCCCCCCCCCCCCCAATCATTTTGGGAAATCGATGCCCATGGGCCTGACACCTTCCATCAGACCGTGCCATTCCAGGTCAACGGCAGAATTTGGTAGTCACCTCTCAACGTCGCCTAACCTTTAGCGTGACCGCTGATTACGACCGCAAGCCATACCTATCAATAGCAAATAGCGAGCATTTAAAGTGACTCGAACCCCTCGCCGCGGGTGGGCAGATCGGACGGCAGGCGCTGTAACCAATACATAACTGAGCTGTGATAACGCATCTTGATGCCCTTCTGAGTAATGAATAGCATTTTCGTAAATTGTGTTCCTTTGTGTGCATCAAATGGGGATGCTGTCCTGGAAGTTGCCTATAATTTGCCGAGAAAATAATTTTCACGGTTTGCTCTCAAAACTGTAATTGCTTGCGGAGACTTTATCACAATAATAGTTCATTGTGCCGCAGCTGTGACAAATGCGAATTAGGCCGCTAACGCTATGTGCACTTGTACCTCGACGCCGGAGGCAAGCTATACGCGTATCTCGTATTTAGCGAGGTGAATTCTGACTGCTTGTTTCTAGTGTTGGCGAGGGCCGAAGGAGCAGGCGGTGACTCACGAATTTGCAATTAGTTGAATCAGTGACCTGTTCTCAGTTTTCTTCAGGCCCTCAGATATGGTGGTGTGTAAATATTTCACCCAAGGTTATTGTCGTTATGGAGATAAATGCCGATTTGATCATCCATTTAAAGGACCAGCCCAAGGTGAGATTCTTTTGCGCAGATCATTTCATGCACGCGTATATCACTGTAAAAATAGCTGTGAGTGATCTTCAATGTGTTCTTGACTCTACAAGGTGAATAATGTTGGTAATGATTACAGGAAATGTATCAATGATTTAGTTTGCTAATATGTATCCACTGTGCTGGATGCCTGTTCAGCAGCTGTGTACTGAATCTTATGCCCATGTATACCAAGCTTCAGCTAGGCCAAGTTGTACTTTCTTCTTTGGGGAATAGTTTATTGTCCTTGGATGTTTGCTTTAAAGAATCAAGAGAATTGTTCTTAATGATTGAACTGCCTTGAATTTGGTACAAACTGTGTGATCATCTCTCATTGCTTGGATTTACAACATAAGTGTGCTGAAATCACTGCTGTTATTTTGCTGCCATGCCAGGCAATGTTTGGCAGAATGTTTCTCAGCCCAGTCACTGATAACAGCATTTGAGTCATAGGTATCTTGTCTGATTGCATCAAATAAGGCATGCCATGTTCATTTCCATGTGGTAACACACCATTACACAGGTCTGCAGAACTGAACATTAAGTGAAAAGTGAACACACCATGTTTCAGGGGCATTCAGAGGCCAGCAGACCAGTTCCCAGCCAGCAGGTGTGGCTGTCACACCCACTACCTTTGTTGAGCTTCTGTAAGTTCTGTTCTGAAGTGACAGCAATTGAACATGAATCAGTTGTATGCTCTGATGTAGGAAGGCAAGAGATGTTGAGTGTGTGAAAATGTGTTTGCATTGCATATTGGTATTTTAACCAAATGTTTCAGGCCAGGTACATGAAGTAGGAATATGATGTGTACCAGCTCAAGTATTTGTCATGTGTTTGTTGTTGTAATATTATCCAAACTGTGAGAACTTTGCACACCATACTCTGTTTTCAGGAATGGGATAGCAACTGAGATGAAAGTATGGGAGGGCTCAAAGCAGTGGCCACTCTCCTGCTTCTCACCCCTGAAGGGCCAGCCCTGCATTCCAGGTAGTGACTGAAAGAAGTGGTTTGACTTAAAGCAGTCCAGCTACTAATCTCAGAGAACCATTAAGGAACTGTTAAAAACAATTATCAGACAAAATGTTCTTTTTCACTACTGCTGTCACCCTTGTGTTTCCAAGTTTTCTGTTTGTTTTTTATTAACATTTCTGGCCATGTCACCACACAGGCAGACTGTATGCATGTGGATGGTGTGATCCAAACCTTTCACAAGCACAAGCAAACCATTACAAGATGAATGTAGACCCAAAGTGTGGCATTATGGCTGGAGCATTTGGTTAGCATGCCATACATCTGTCACTTGTGATGTCTCATTCAGGTCTCCTGGACCTCTCGCCCGAGGAGGTGCGCGCCGAGGCGTACAAAAGCAAAGTGGCCAACACACCGGACGTTTACGTGAGTATCAAGGACGGCCCGCGGCCAGCTGCCGCGCTGCCCTCGGCCTGGACCGGCGATGCAGCGTCCGGCTACGGCCAGGAGAACGGCTCGCGCGCCGTAAAAACTTAGCGGTGCTGATTCGGTGCAAGATGTCTGCGCAGATGTACAGTTGCTGGTCCGAGAGACTATGCCTGTGTGATATGAAGTTTGCTATTATGGACGAGTGGGAGTGTGAGAGTTTGAAGAGAGAACGCGATTGTGCCCTGTGGTTCCTCATGTAGCCATAGAAGGAATGCCAAATCCCAATGGTAAATTAGTACTGAATCAGGGGCAATGCCAGTTGTGGATCGATGAAATGGTAAAGCTGCACGTATTTCTGCTCGCCCGTTGTAGTTGCTCGTTCAGAGCGCGGACCTTGGAGCAGGGGCTGGGTTAGTTCCCCTGTCTATGTCATGGAGGTTGAACATGTTGCAAGTTTGTGTTAATGTTTGCGACAAGCTTGGGGCGCCAGTTCCTCATTTCGAATTGGCTTTGAAATGGGGTTGTTATGGACGCTGTGTGACCGTGCGTTTCATGCGCCCTGAGACCCAAATAACCAACCAATAAATAGGGTTTGGTGCCAGCTTCACCGACGTTCGTACATCTTTGGACATGAGGTTGTTTATTTGGCATTCCGGTTCATTTCGATGAGATATTGATGATCTGAACTTCGGGTTGTGTGGTTGCCAATTTGGCTTATTTCGACGATACCTTGATGATATATTTACGTTTTAGCCATGCTCGTAACGCATTAGCCGCCACCGCCGCGTGAGTTGTTCGCCGAAGTGGTAACGTGGTCAGTGACACTGGCTCTTATCAATTGCAGCTGCAGTACTTCAACACTCAGATAGCTGACTATCGACAGAAGCGAGAGACGCTGAAGAATCCGTCTCCCGAAATCCGCAGTTACCTGGTGAGTGAAAATGCTGATTCACAATAGAATAGAAGCCAGGCGCGGGCTTTCGCTGGCGAACATGGCGGCCGGACGAGGACATGGTGACGCAAAGATGCTTCACCAAACAGGAATGGGCGGTATTTTTGCGCACAAGATGCCACGGCAACACTGAACACCTATTTGTACCAACATGAAGGCCCGGTATGTGGGGGCGTCCTTACTCTTCACTTGTCGACATGTGCTGCCGAAGGCTGAAGGTAGAAAAGGTACTTTTATTTTACGCACAAGCGGTCATGACCAATTCAACAAGGCTTGTGCTGATCCTCGTTTTCCAACACCAAGTAGCCGTGGTTTTGACTGGGTGGAAGCTGTGTTGGTTGTTGATATATAAACTGCGTGCACTTTCAACGTCATTTGATAAACATTTGTGCGTAAAATTTCCAGTTTGGCCATTTTAGTACAAATCCGAGGACAAAGTAACCGTGACAAAACTTAAGTTCAGTGCTAAACCTTTAGACCTTGGTGGTTTGATTGCACTAAATATACAGGGAGGACTGTTATGTTGAACTCAAACCCGGTCTTGACTAGACTTTATCTGCTTCCCACCGACGTCGTGCGCTATCCGTTAGGTATGTATTTGAGTGTCACGCGTTGTTGTATATCAAAGACAATTGTGTGATATAAGCAAAAACGCCATTCGTTAACCCTTACAGGATTTTACTTCCGGTCCATGTCATACCAGCTGTATTTCGGTACGGCGCCTGCGCATGACCTGTTCCTTCGTTTTCCAGCAGCAGATGTTCAACGCATCCGCGGCGGGCCCGGGCGGCGGCGGCGGCACTGCTGGCACCATGTTCGCCGCGTCCTCCTCCAAGCCGTCTGTATTCGGCGGCGGCTCCGGCCAGGCGTCCTTGTTCGGCGGCGGCTCCGCGTCGGGCGCAGTGTTCGGCGGCGGCGCCTCCACCGGCTCTGACCTGTTCGGGAAGTTTGGCGGCGCCCCGGCCGGCCAGTCCGTCTTCGGCGGCGGCGGGCAGCAGGCTTCGGCCGGCTTGTTCGGCGGACAGGCTCAGCCCACCTCCCCGTTCGGAGGTCAGCCGCAGGCCACGTCGTCGGTGTTTGGCGCCCAGCCGCAGGCCGCCTCCTCTGTGTTCGGTGGACAGCCGCAGGCGTCGTCTTCTGTGTTCGGTGCACAGTCTCAGGGTGCGCCTTCGGTGTTCGGCGCCCAACCTCAGGCTACATCCTCCGTGTTCGGCGCTCAACCGCAGGCTGCACCATCTGTGTTCGGCGCACAACCGGCCGCGTCGCCTTCTGTGTTCGGTGGGCAGCCTCAGGCCACCTCCTCCGTGTTCGGTGGACAGCCCCAGGCCACCTCCTCCGTGTTCGGTGGACAGGCTCAGCCCGCCTCGTCCGTGTTCGGTGGACAGCCTCAGGCCACCTCGTCCGTGTTCGGTGGACAGCCTCCGGCCACCTCGTCCGTGTTCGGTGGACAGCCTCAGGCCACCTCTTCGGTGTTCGGTGGACAGCCTCCGGCCACCTCCGTGTTCGGTGGACAGCCACAGCCCGCCTCGTCCGTTTTCGGTGGACAAGCCGCGCCTTCCACGCTCGGGGCCGCCGCTCAGTCCGCCACGGGCGGCGGGCCGTCCGTGTTTGGCTCGGCCCCCGCCGCGCCGGTGTTCGGCTCGGGCGCGTCCCAGCCCCAAACCCCTGCGATGCCGGCCGGCGGTGCAGCCGGCGCCGCGCCGCCGGCCGGGGGCGGCCTGTTCGGAAAGGGCGTCCCGGCCGGCGGCGGCGGCGGCGGCCAGGCCGAGGTCGAGCCGCAGGCCTACTCGGAGCCGGCCGAGTTGAGCGAGGCGGAACGGCTCGAGTTCGAGGCGGCCGAGTTCACGCTTGGCCGGGTGCCGATCAGGCCGCCGACTCGCGACGTGTGCGCCCGCTGAGCGGCGGCTGGCCGCCCGATCAGCTCGTGTCGCGCGGCGCGTGCTCTGTGAGATTCACCACAGTTGCGGGTGGTGCTGTCCAGATGTGCTGTCTGTGATACGTGCCGGAATGTCGTTTCGTCGTGCCCTTGTTCTTGAAATCCTGAATAGTTGGTCGTAGAGGAATACGGGACTACTGGCCGTCTGATGTATTTGATGGATCATGAGTACAGACCTTTTGGTTTCGTTGGCCACCCCGCCCACTCACGCAACGTGTGTACCTACGTTTATCAGTGGCCGCTGAGTGCATAATTTCGTTGTTTGAGAAGGCAGCGCTGTAGCACAGCGTAATTACTGGCGCGTTTAAGTGCGTGCGTTCTTCACATCGTATCTGGTATACCTTGTGATGATGTTAGCGGATGTCTCCGCATCCCGCAATCACTGCGACTGCACGACCATCGAGTGGGCGTGAGCTTTCTGATGGGTCTGATGCGCGTTTTTCGGGTACTTCGCACGAAGGCGCCGTGTTGTGTGACCGATTTGATATAAAAATATGATGTTTGTCGTTAGTATATCCTGGAATTTCGCAATCTCGCTCACTTGCCAACTCGCTTGAGTGCAATGTAATCGCTTTGAATGAAATTCTAAATTCTAAAAAGTCTAAGTTACCATTTTGTGTTTGAAGAATTCAACCGGTTAATTGATTATAATTATGGCTAGAGAACACGACACTCGATCAAACACCTTTTATAAATCGTCGGTGCGGTTAAAGGTATGCATGCGCGTTGGCAATGCTGAGTACTTGAGGCACATACAAGCTGGAACGGCACTTACAGGCAGTCCACGGCAGACGCAATAGTCATACCAAGATGAGGGCTGATCAAACATTTGAGTAACACAAACAACCATTTGTGCAACGTTGCAGCAGATACGAACCTTTGCAGCGTAAAACCGGTTTGGCATTACAGTTGGAGTTGACACTAAACAATTTCCGCGATAATATTCATGCACGACTGGACGTTCAGACTTGGTTCGTATTCGGCCATTCCGGTGGACATCGATGTTCTCCAATTTAGTGGTGTATTGGTGGGTCTTGTATGTGCCACAAATTTCGATGGATTATTAATCGATGGATATTAATTCGACCAATGACGCTATTAACGCACCTGGGTGACCGGTTGAATGCCCATTGCTCGGGTGGGGGTCACTTTGACGCCCTGAGATCTCCGAAACTAAGAGAAAGAGGCGCCAAACTCAAACTGTGTGTTAGCCGGCGCCTGAACTCACTTGTGTCGAAGTTCGATGTTCCTAGGTCATGACATTCGGGTCAAGTAAGGTCAAACGAGGTCAACCTCCAGTTTGGTGTCCAAAGTGCCCCCAGACCTTCTCATGTGACCACCGTGAATTTGGATACCTGTTGAAGGCAGAAGGTCACCGGTGCTCATTGAAGGTCAGTGACCTCGCGGTTCTTTCGAAGGTCATGGTAACCCAAATCATGCAAGTTTGCTTTGATTTTTGCATTTGAATAAGCGTAAAATATCATGCCAGACTGTGATCCTGAACAAACAAAGAAAATGTTTGCCTGGGTTATTTTCAGTCAATGATCTATTCCGACCTTTGAAAAGCTCATTTTAGATGTGTAATTCGGTTCCTGTTATCATTAAATTGGGAATGAGTACCAGAAACTACCTCCTATGGCAAGCTCTAGGGTAATACAACAGGTTGATTTTGACCTTCGTCTGACCTTTATACTTGGCCCTAGGTCAATGGAACCATTTATTCGACTGTTGTGTTGCCTAAGAAACTGTCTGAGAGATTATGGTTTCCTCTAACACTACGTTGTTGCATCAGACTGAACCACTCTCTAGTCATTGTCCTCGCTGAATCCATGGCCTGACTGACCTGCCGTAGGTCAGCGACCTTACAAGGTGCATCGAAATTTTTAACGCCAAACTATCCACCATTCAATTTTCTAAAGCTATACAAACTCCGTAAAAACCTTCCGGGGTCAAATTGACCTTATCCAATCGCATGTCAACCTTCTTCAGCAGCACTAGAACATTGGAACCCCATTGCATTTATAAATCCTCGAACTCCTTTCAAATCATAATCGCGCATAGAACTCTTTCAATCGCTCCGCTGCGCACAAGTCAATACTATTGACAGAAATATGCTTCCTATAACAATCAACAGCCACCGTATCAGGCAACGGACACCGAGACCATAACGCGCTGCAACAAATACTGCCGCAGCAACCCAAAACCGGCCGTAAATCCCATTGCCCATTGCCCCACAATGCAGTTCACTTGTACAAGCATCAGAAGGCGGCGCCGCGCCCCCCGCCGTGAAAGCCCCGCGGTCGCGCCGGCGCTGGCCTGGCGCGCGCGACGTCACGTGCCCACCGTGCTGACTGGCGTCGGCGCCGCCGGCGACTCGCACCGGCCGTCTCCGTGCGCGCACGAGCAGTCGGGCTCCTCGCCCGTGGCGGCGGTGGCCGGCGGCGAGAACTCTCTGAACACGTTGTATGGCTCCGTGAGCGAGCTGTCTGCGGCTGGATCGCACTCCGACACGCAGCGGGAGCGCACCTCGGCGACGGCGGCGGCGGCGGAGGCGGGGCTGGCCACGGTCGACGGCGGTGGCGCCGACTCCGCCTCGATCAGGTCGCACGCCTTGCCCAGGATGACGATGGTGTTGAGCACGCGGAAGGTGGCGAGGGCGAGGTAGGCGGCGGCCACCAGGAGCCAGGCGCCGGTGCCCGTCAGCCGCACCGACTGCAGCAGGATCCGCGCGGTAAGCGCCGCCAGCGGCAGCGAGATGAAGCCCATCCGGTGGCTCACCATGTCCGAGTGGTCGCTGAACGCCTGCCGGGGGTGCCGCGCGCCGGTCAGAGCCAGGCGACGGGCCGGGGTGTGCGGGCAGTGGACAAGCGACGCCCCACACGGCAGTTGGTCAGGTCACGGGGTCACGCCGTGCCCCATGCACCCCGTCTCCCAGCTGTGTACGGAGGAGCAAGCTCGGAACTCGATCGGTTGCAAGACTTCAAAGCAGGACATCAGATATGGAAGAAATAGCAGCAAGAAATGCTGCTGCGGATAGCGCCCCTCCCCCCTCCACTTGATAAAAGTTCGGTCAAGTCGAACAGCAAGTAACAGGTTCCGTCATGGACTAAAACGCAACCTTTCAGCTTCAGCTGGGCGGGGATGTCTCGGTCTCGGTTCCGTCCGTCGCCGCGAACGGTGCGGCCTCGAGCCAGGTCAGTCACCTCACCGCGCGGGCACACGGCCAACGGGAGAGCCTTCTGTCATCAAGTCATGCAGCAGCACAGCCTTCAACCAGGCCATCGAACCTCTCCACACCGGTCCCCAACAATGTCTCCAGTCCTAACCCCGACAGAAAATCAAGGTGACACAATATCGCAACATCTTGCAGGATCGCAGTAACGCGGTCGGCGGTCACCAGTCCCACAAGTACGCACGTATTTCCCCTCGGGTACGTACGTATTTCTGTTTGCTGGATATCAGGTCGTACGCCAGTGTGAGCGTGTACTCGCGATAAATTTCGACGGGAATCTCGTTGAATCGCGTGATGAAGGCATGCTTCACCCAGTCCACGAACAGCTCGGCCACCAGCACAAGGATGCAGTCCGGCAGCAGCACCCACAGCTGGTCTGTAGGCAAGCGCGGTCACAAAAGTTCGGCAAACAGGCGGACACGATGACAAACACTTATCAATCGTCCACCGGCAGATATTCCTGAGCATGGTTGAGCATGAGCACTTCCGTGATAAAGATATCTTGATTGCAGGAAGGATAAGGTTTAAGATTCCATAGGGCTTATGGCGCGGTTATCGTACGTGAGTGTACCTCGGGGCCGGCATACGGGTACGACCAGGGCCCGCTGAGCTGAGGGTCTCGCCCATTTGGTGCTTGATCTTAGGCAAATGCCGACAAACCATATACAGATCCAACCCACTACGGACCAGATCCACGTTAGATGGAACCGAAAGTGCATCATAACATACCGAACATACTTACATGGAACCCACCACTCCGACAATTTAAGGGTGTAAAAAGCTAAGCGAACATTAAATAGACACATTTTTGATGCGCGAAAACTGCACAGGCATCTCGTCGTTTCTGCATCGATAAACATCAACTTCAGAGCAGCGCACTGGTGAATCCGGCACCGTTGACGGGATAGAAAAGCACGGGGCCCTTGACATGTCAAACCACTCGGTCAACGTTAGGGACGTGCGCGGTGTCGCGGACGTTTTGCAGCACGTTAGCCGGTATGTTTCCAGTCGGGCTCAGGCCTCAGCCATCGTCAGATCACACCGTTTCCATAAATCAGCTGCACAGCATTTCCCCACCATCCCGGACCTCATATGCAAACGGGCGGATGGACCGATCGGCTTGAGAATAGCCTGGCTGCCGACACATGTTAGTACTCCCCGAAATCTTCGCACAGCTTTCCTCCGTGTTTGTCACTGATGACATTCACGCAACGTAATCAAACGCTCTCACTTGATAGGTAATACAAGTAGGGTGACGATCTGGAGAAACGTTTGAAGTTCTGACGGCACTGGAGGCTTGCCATAACCAGAGCGTGCACTCAGACTCGATGATGACTGATCGTACAGCCATCACTTTTCAGACAAAATGACATCTTGGCGTCTAGTAAAATAGCTCAAAAGGCAGTGACACGGCCTCGTGACACGACGGCGCTGTCACTTGCCTGACCACACCACCTGGCCGGAGTCAACCTTGGTCAACTTGTTTCGCTCTCATGTAATTTTAGGCATAGCAAATAGTTTTCCGGTGCATTTTGGCTGTGCGTGGTAATTAAATACCTTAATTTAACGCTTCAAAACTCAGGTACGAAATCTCACGATCACAAGGTTCGTGTGAACTCATCACACTTCTTACGTCAACCGATGTTCAGCCTAGCCGGGACGGAACGCGGTCGGGACATCACGCAGACGAGACGGAACACGGTCCGGACATCACGCACACGGGACGGAACACAATACCGGCATCGCGCAGATGGGACGGAACACAATACGGGCATTACGAAGATGGAACGGAACGCGGCCCGGGCACCACGCACACGGGACGGAACACAATACGAACATCACGCAGACGGGACGGAACGCGGTCCGGGCACCACGCGGACGGGACGGACACGACCCGGACATCACGCCTGTCAGCTGAGGGCGTCGGGGTTCGCGCCGGCCAAACGCCGCTGGTAAGATCAGGCGCGCGCGCGCGCTCTTATAAAGCAAATGCATTCCTCGATTTAACAGTGCGCTTATGTTGGGCAATGTGATCATCATGATCAAACACGACCACTTGAGGCGATTCGGTGCCTGAACTTACTCTCATTCCAACCAAACTCCTTCATGGTCTGAACGGTGACCAGCAGGAGGAGGACACAGTAGTGGAAGCGCTCGCGGATGTCGCTGCAGGCCACCTGGAGGAGATTGTTCCGATCGAACTTCTTGAACACCGAACCTTTCAGTTCGACGAACTGAGAAAGAAAGGCAGACATTTTAAGATACGCTGGAGTCCACATACGAACTAGTGAGAAACTACATCCGAATCGATCGGTAGAACATTCCATATCTTCCAGAGGCTTGAACCCTCATGTTTATGGGCTAGCATCAAGCATATTGGCTGGTTTAGAACAACTGAACCTAATCACATCATTTTACAAGCTCCACCTCTGCAATACAAGCAGCGCTCGGAACAAATGATACTGCTCTCTGTACGCTGCAAATACGGCGTCACTAGATAAGGCATGCCATACATGGGAACGATGACTCACGTTGTTGGACATCATAACCGTCAGCAGGGCCTTGTTGCTCGAGTTGATCGCTACGTTCAGAACGGTGGTTTGAAACAAAATCAAGATCCCGTGCAGGACTGCGACTCGGTCAAGGGAATTTCGGGGTCCAGCACAAACACCGTAAAACCAGATCCCAACAATCAACAGGATCTATGCGTTACCTATTACCAGGAGCATTCATAAAACAAGAGCCTACTCGACTTCGAGAGCGGTTTTCGTCCCCCCCCCCCCCGCCCCCGGCTTCCGAATACGTGTCGATGGCAACAGTACAATACAGCTATAGTGCAGCTTACAGCTGCGTCTGTCGAGGGTTCGTTTGCAGGCTCTGCGGTAACCCGTGACATGACGCCGAGCACGGCATGTACACGGCGAGACTGGGGTCTGAACTTCTCATAACAGCCCCAATCGTAATCCTAAATGACAGCTGGCTCCATATTGTTCACTAGAGGATAGCGAAAAACAACACTGGTACGCCCGGGTGAACACATGACAGGCATGACGGGTGGCGTTAGCACTCTCTACTAAAAGAGCCCAGAGAGCTTAGTGCGGATAGCCTAAAGAGCTGCGTGCCTGGTATGAGGCACACATTTCACACAATAAAGGACGCGTTTGTTCTTACCCATTCTCTCCGCCTAAAGCGTCCGACGGACCCGTAAACGAAAGCCCAACCAGCTCTGACGGTGAGGATACAGACGTAAACGGTGGCCAGGAAGAAGTGCGGCAGCGTGCCCAGGTGCTGGCGCTTCTTCTTGCGCGGCTCCGTGGCCGTCCAGTGAAGCGCGTCCAGCGTGTCCTGGCCGAACGACGACATCAGCTTGTCTCCCACCTCCAGCATGTTGTAGAACATGTACAGCTTGATGATCGACTGGCTCTTCACCTGCCGTCCGAAGAGGGCTCGCGTTATCGCCGTGCAAGCTTCACTGTTCTCTGGTCTCGCAGATGCGGCATGTTTCACAAACGACACCAGCGGCATGAAATGGACGACACAGATGAGAATCAGTAAGCACAAACGTTTTCAACGGTGGTTAAAAATGCGACCAAACGTTTAAGGTGCAAGACAGATCACGCAAAGTCAACGAACACAGTGCCCTCGTCGCGCTAAACATTTCCAAGGATCACTTACCACGTGATACAACATAGACGTGTCGATGTAAGACAAAAAGAAGCACGTGATAATGATAATCAGGCCTTTCATCATGTCGATAATCTCGGACGGTTTCAGCCAATGGCCATCTCCCTGCTGTCTTCTCAACCTACGGACGCAAAAGCCAGAGGTCAAAGACAGGCGCAAAGGTGTACATAAAAAAACACTATGGAATGACATCGACCACTCCGATCCATGAATCGCTCCAAGCCATCGCTACATCGCGAGCAATTGATGGAAAACTCAGGAAAGCAACAGTCGTCACCTGACCACAGAACGATTATTCCTTAAAATAATCGGCATTCCGGGGTTTAAAGGGATGGCGCGCTAACGTCACTTCGGTACCCATTCAAGGCTCGGGTAAGTACCACACGAACATCACATAACCAACACTACATTAGCACTATATACTACAAGAAAACTTACCCGACGGCGATCAGCAGCGGCCTCGTTAGAAATGCCCAGACAGCGAGCACGAACCGCAGCGGCAAGAACGTGAAAATGAAAAGGAACGCGTCGACCACCTGTAAATCGAAGACATCACATGTGTCGCGCGCCGGCAAAACCATTCCTCGTGCCACGCCGGAGAATTAATCCCCTCCCTCCACCCCCCTCCTATTAGAATATCTTGTCAGCAAAGAGTTTCCAACTTGTGTCGAGCGGTAGTCAGTGCATTCTAGTCTGCCACTCGGAACGAGCTTCTTGATAGGTCTCAAGGATACCTTATAACTGACCAGAACACCACCGCTTTGACGGAGCCGATGCAGCGTTGCAGAAGTCACGACACAGGAGCCATGGGCGTAGTCAACACTTTTCTTTCCGAATAAAAAAAAAAACTCATCGCTAGGTAGTTTAAAAGCCTCGCAGCGGACATTCCTCGAGATTCAGATCCAGCGCAGATTCAGGGAAGACCGCGGACTAAACAGCCACACTGGGTTACGCTGAATCGATTCATCAGACACGTAATGTAGGTCGAAATTGAGACAGCCATACCAACCATGAACAACAACAAACCTTGTAATGTTTGTGTTTCTGGTGTGCAGCAAATGTACCATTAGATGCATAGCTGTATTTCCCGACAGTTGTTGCATGCATGCTGTCACGAAACCCATCCAATACTGTATCACACTAACTGCTGTCACCCCAACCCAAGTCCCCAGAGACGCTTTCAACGACAATGGTTCCGAGAATGATTCATATATCCATGAGCCAGGCACAGCAGTCAAGCCCAAGGTACAAAATGCGGCCAGCGCCAGAATGGGAACCTATCCAATTTGCTGTGAGACAAGACAGAATCGGTTCAGAGGGTCGGAACAGAGCACCAGCCCTCTCAACCTCCTCCACTTACTTGTCCGGGCCACAACAATATACACATAGCCCAAAAGCGCTGATTCCAGGAAAGAGTTTAAATGATGTTTACTTACCTGGAAGAACCCATAACCAATCAGCTTTTCAACCTCTCTTGGAATTTTCATGAAGGTGTATATCTGTTCTCTTTTGAACTCATATCGTTCCTCATATTGTTGGAGGAAGTAACTTCGTGTAACTTCAGATTTTAAGAACTTGCAAAGTGAGATACCTGAAAACATCATACATGCTTTGTTTGATTTACTTGGCGACACACAAACTGAGGTATTATCAGCACACCAATCCACATAAAATCACATCGCTGAAATTTGGCCTCACAATATCACAACCACTTGTACCTGAGCAGCACTGAATGTGTCTTTGATAGCCTTGAAGATGATCAAACAAGTCTCCACTTAGACAATGGTCTCCTGTCTATTTGCATAAGAATGTTGGTTCACATATGAGCAGCCTTTTCTCCAGAAGTTACTAAAAAAAGATCAGAAAAAATGTTGTCACTTACGATTTTTCTTCTTGCGATCTCTAGGCATTGTTTTTTATCTTGACTTCTTCAGGAGTCAGGCACAATGGGCTAAAAACAATAATGAATACATCAGCAGCAGCACAGCAAGTGAGTGGCATACATACTCATGGATACATACTCATCAGCTATGACATGCCAGTGGCCCCAAATGTGTACAAACATTTTAAGAAAACAATGGACTGCCCCATTCAGTATCACAACAGTTTGTCAAACACCAGAATATTAGTGCCATTGAGTTGTTTTTATACCACAGTAACATCTCCAGTCCATATCCAAATTTTGTGACCTGTGGAAGCATGGTTGTTTGACTTGAACAGGAAAGGGCCACTCACTCCAGTGATGATGAGGTGGCTGTGGAACACACTGCAACATATTAGAGCATACAAAAAGGTGGCCACAGTAGCATCAGCAAGTCTGCACAACATGCATTACAAAGCAAAGGCAACAATCTTAAAATCCAGCAGGCCACACATCTTCAAAAAGATGTAATAAATGCATGGCAGTAAGCTTACTTCAGCATGTTTTTACTGTCATGATTGGTTTACACACAGGCCTATGTACACTGCAGCCAAATATTTTAGTGAGCTCCCATGTGAACTGTATAAAAATTGTACATGAGCACTACACTTCATCCCAGCTGGCACTCACAGCCATCACCATAAGAAGCCTCAATTTGGTTATCAGTATGTCATACCAGGTAGAATGCCTATTGCAGTATTAGCAAGAGTGGTTTGTTAAGGGTTGTTTGCATTATTTGCAACTTCAAAATGCAATGTGGTTCATATTGTTCATAATACAGCATACATGCAACCTGCTTTTAGTTTACAGGACACAACTGGCACATGGTGCCTAGGGGGTAAACTATGGGTCTGGCACCCTGCAGAGCTACACAGATAACTTCATGGATCAACCTTCAGGATTATTTAAATGGTGGGAGTGCTGAAAGTTTACAGGAGGCCGTGGCCTTAGCCTGACCATCACAACTGACAACAGCCCTGAAATAAGTAGAATCTCAAACACTGTCTCTATGGTTTAGGGAAAAGATGCTGGACCAGTTATCTAGCAGCATTGGGTATGAGACCCAAAGTAAGTGCAGTACTTGGTTTGCTCTGACCACATGGGAAGGCCAGCTGGGTATTGTCTTCTGCCCAAACTTCAAAAGTATGCACTATGCTAAGCATTCAATATGAAGTGACCACACCACTCTAACAATTTTAGCACATGAGCATGATAAATTCAATTGCTCATGGTTAAGCCCACGTTCACCACCAATTTCAGTATACAAGGCCAATGTTTCAGGGAGTTATGATGTAACACAGGCAAGTTTTCAAGAAAAAGGACTTAGAACACTATTATTACAGATTCTGACAAGCTGGCTGACAGATTCTGACAATTTGGCCCGATCTCCATCCAGTACACAGAAATACAAGGTTCAGTGCATCACAAGATATCAGTGTACCATGCAGCGGATGGATTCTATGCAGCCTGATCTGATGTAAGTCAACCCAGGCTTGGAGCAGTCATTTTGCAGCACTGTGTGGCACAGAAACATTTTCTGCTCCTAACCAGTGACAAGGTAGAGACAAGTCTTCAATTTGTTCACTGTCCACTTAAGGGGCCTTTTTATCATAAATACTGTGCATTCCACTAGTATCACCAGGCAACACTCGAGCGTGATGCATCTGAATAGTGGGTACCTTCTGATTCACATTGGGACATTTCAACATAATCCAATTGCAGCTTGAAGTGTTTGGGGCAAATGCATGACAAGTAATAGGCACTGGGACTTCGGGCAATATGCCACAACTAGCACCCCCTGGCCTGGGGCAACTCATCAATTCCCACGCAAATTTCATCACTAATCTTAAACGGTTCAATCACCTTGCATGTACCTTTATTTTAACGGTCCTAATTGGGCAACGGCATGTAAACATACTCCCCGCAACATACATATTCCTGCCAGCACAAAGCTAGAAAAAGGGTAGAGTATTTTTTGTCTCTACTGCGTCAAAATAGGATGCACAAAAGCAATTGTCTTCTAAAGTACTGCTAACACTTTTAGATGCACCCATTGAGCACCTTGTGGCCCTGCTTCTAATTGGTCACTTGCTATGGTTAAAATGACAATAAAATCGAATATCAATGTTATAATTTTTCATCTTGTGAGATTGCTGTCCGTTTAAGGTAATGCATTGATTGCTGAATTATTAGGCTGGTGGCAAATCCTCAATTTGCTTGTTACAAACGGTCACGTGCGTGCACTCATACCCTCTAAACAGATGAAGAAATGATCATAACAGTGTCAAATGATAGATTTATCCAATTTTGATTCGAAAGCTTGCAAAATTTCCTCCTAAGTTCTCAAGTATCGAACTTACTCGCCAAAGATGGCATAGCAGTATTTCACGTTCCTTCTCGTGGTTGTAAGACCTTGTTCGTAAACGATTTGTGGCGCCACCTTCAAAAAATCAATCACCTGACTGCAGCATCAGTGTGGTCTAATGAAATGTAAGTTGTTGATTGGGAACGGATGAAAGAACATACTGCATGATAAGATCAACCTGTGATATTCCAGTTGAGCAGGCGACACAGCTTCGGAAAACCGGCATGACCAAGATGCAGCAGCCTTATAATTTAGATTCCCAGGTACAATGCTTATCTGACTTATTACCGTCACGTGGGTACTTATAATTTCGGCTTGCAGAGAATTTGAAAATAACGTGTAAAACTGGGCCTGGTCTGCAAATTATGACAGGTTTTTATAATCATGGGCAGTCAGACTTAGTCGGGGGCCGGGGGGGGGGAGGGCTGCAGCCATCTGCACCCCCCCCCCCCCCCCGAATGAATAGATGCAGCCTAGAGACTGTGCATTTGTGCAATGCACTCAATCCAAATTCATAGGATGTCAGAGAAAGATTTGCATTGCCTCCTCCTCCTGAGGAAAGCTGTTACATGCCAGGGCTTTCATACTTGGGCAGTTGGGCAGTGGTGCTGCCTGAGTACCTGTCGGTTTTGGACTCTGCTCCCAGTGTTTTGTGTGTGCCCTGCCTTTGTTTGGAAACTGGCTATAACCTTTGCCTGGAAATAGACCATGGTCTTAAAGCCATTCCTGCAGCATGATTTGCAAACATAGGAAAGGAAAAATGATTATTTACTTTGTCCTCACACTCACCCCTATGGGGACTGACAGGTGTGTCCCTGAAATATGTAATGGATGTCTTGTTACATGGCTTATTTTGTTACCTGCATTGTACCTTTAATGATTTTGTCCATTAATGTATGATGGTGCATGATGGAAGTCATTTGCAAATGCCAGACACACTAATAAAGGTTTTACATGCTTTGTCTTAAGTAACAGGACAAGCATGGTGGTATCAGAAAGCAGCTTACCAATTCCAAGAAATGGTGAATGATGTTAACATGGCCAGTAAACATGCATTGTGTCTTCTTTGACTCATGATACCACAAAACTGTCAACTAGATTGGGGCCATGATGCTGGTGTCATGCAGAATGCTGCCCTCCTAAAATTGCCCATGTCTAAGATATATAAGAGAAAGTTACAAAAATTAGCAACATTTATTGTGCTGTTCTACAAAAATAATCAAGTGCAAAGAGCAAACCGCTGATATGTTTCACATGTTGGTGTATTATAACAGGAGCATATTCTGACTACAGCTCCCATTGTATGCATCTACAAATTGTTCCATCTTGATAAGTGATGGATGATGTTGTACTTACACAGATCTGTGCATATGCAAAGCTCATGGTTAAACCTTCCCAAAAATGACCACTGTGGTAACCTGTATTTAGGAGGTGGCACTCCTTTGTATTTCATCACATAGACAAACTAAAAGCGTCTCACAAATGTCTAGAAAACTTCCATTTTTTTCTTCTGGGTTCTTATAAGCAGGTTCTTTCCAGACATCGATGTGACAGCAGCAGCAATGACATGGCAGCCAAGAGTGTGTCTGAGTTTGTGAAGGAGTCGCGTCGGCTGAGGAGCCAGCTGTCCGCGGCTGAGGGGAGCTGGAAGCAGTGGTACAGCGACGAAAGTCGACGTCAGCTGTGTGGCCTGCTGCAGCCGCGCGGCGGAGATGGCGACGCCGACAGGTAGATGGACCACCGGACGCCAGTTCAATAGGCTTGACGTGCACTAAATATCATGCAAAGAGGTGGCTTAAAGCAAAGAAGGGGGTTGGGTGGGTATGTTTCATCAACATCATGCAAAAGTGGTGTGCAGTGTGCAAGGATTCCAAGTTTCACTGCAGATGAAATAAGACTATAGGGGCTGATTTCACATGCATCATGTCCGATGCAGCTGGTACGCCCGCATCGCCTATGGCGCATAACCAGCCCTGTGCAGGACCAATGCGGCCATGACCGAATCGCTCCCTCAAACCCATAGGCGAGATGGCGGCGGCGACGGCGCGTGGCGCCAGCTGGTGGCGGAGGTGAACCAGGTGCGCCAGCGCGTGCTACGCCTGCGCCAGCTGTGCCAGCCGCCGGTGCACCACCAGGACCGGGCCGTGATCGGGCGCGTGGCCGGCAGCGTGCGAGCGCAGGCGGTGGCCGTGTCACACCGCTGCTGCCAGAGGTGGGCACCGCTCTCGCCCGGCCCGGGTGAGTGCTGGGCACGCACGGCGCCGGCCGCCGCCGAGATCGGCGCCGGTCACCTCATGAGGCTCCCAGAACGGTATTGGGCGAGTCATGTGTTGTTCGCCTCAAATCAGGATGTGTATAACTACCGCTAAATAATAACTGCGTCTTGATAAGGTATACCATCCGTTTGTGGCCAGTGAGGGAGCATTTTGTGTTGTAGCAAATAATATACACTGTTGATGGCTGGATACTATTACTTTCAATTGTCAATCAGATGGTTCCATTCGTGTTACTAAAAAAAACCGACAATGTGTTCCACCTAATGGTATAGTGAGACACATAGCAGTTGGTCGTATTTGCCAGGCCGGTGCCTGCATTGCATTTCATCTGATGGTGTACCAAACCGCACAGCAGCTGGTTGTGTGTGCCAGTCCCGTGCCTGGGTTGTATTCCATCTGATGGTGTACCAAACCGCACAGCAGCTGGTCGTGTGTGTCAGACCCGTGCCTGGGTTGTATTCCATCTGATGGTATACTGAACCGCACAGCAGCTGGTCGTGTGTGTCAGACCCGCGCCCTGCGGCCGGCAGGCGGCGTGAGCTGGATGAGGAGGAGCGCGAGCTGACGGCGGCGGTCGGCGCGCTCTGCGACCGCGTGCGCCGCTGGAGCCTGAGTCCGCGCCGGCCGGCCACGGCACCGTCCGGGTCGAGGCGGCCGCCGGAGCGGCCCGCCCAGCCTCAGGGTCACCGCGCGCCGCCCGAAGTACGGCCCGGACGCTAGGTCGGAGCGGACTTGGCAAAGGAGAGGGGGGGGGGGGGGGGCGAGGGCGGCCGCCAGACTGTGGGATGGAAGGCGCCGCGATACGGCTGTCCGACCACGCATGGGGGCGCGTTAAGGGGGCCCTCATGTTCACACTGCAAGTCAGATCCTCTGGGCTTCGCTCTCTCGCTTTATGCAAAACAGCTTGCTATGATCGGAGGCCGCCTTTTATTAACAGGGAGCAACTGGTCTGGTTTGAATCTGCCGCCTGCCCAGGTTTCTTGGTTTCTGATCTGAACCTGTTGTCTCCAATGGACTTCAGGTTCTTGTTTTAACCCGCGGCCTCTCTGGATTACTGTATCTTGTTCTGACCTGGACCTGCTGCCTGTTCAGGTGACCTTGTCGTGTTCGGACCTGAACCTGCTGCCTGTCCAGGTGACCTTGTCGTGTTCTGACCTCAGCCTTCTGTCTCTCCGGGTGATTGTGTCTTGTTTTGACGTGAACCTGCTCCCTGTCCAGGTGACTGTGTCGTGTTCTGACCTGGGCCCGCTGCCTCTGTGGGCGACTGTCGTGATCTGACCTGACCCTGCTGCCTGTCCAGGTGACCTTGTCGTGTTCTGACCCGAACCTGCTGCCTGTCCAGGTGACCTTGTCGTATTCTGACCTGAGCCTTCTGTCTCTCCGGGTGATTGTGTCGTGTTCTGACCTGAACCTGCTCCTTGTCCAGGTGACTGTGTCATGCTCTGACCTGACCCTGCCGCCTCTCCGGGCGGCCGTATGGTACTGAGGTCTGAGCCGCTGCCCCGTGCCGCCACCTCTCCAGGTGATGGCGTACGACGCCTTCCTGCGGGAGCACGGCGGCCTGAGCGGCGGCTGGGACGAGACCGACCACGCGCTGTTCCTGAAGCTGCGCGCCCGCCACCGCGGCGTCGCGCGGCAGTGTCAGGCCATGGCGCAGCAGATTCCCAGTCAGTGAACAGCCCCAGCAGCTCCCGTCGGCCACCACGCCGTCAGAATCAGCTTAGGCTTCACGTTTGTGTTCGTGTGTGTTCAGGAGCGCATACCTGTAATTGGAATAGACTGAAACGACCACTTGATTCAAAAGATTGGCCAGCAAACGTTGCATGACGGGGGTGTTGATACTATGCCGAATGTCTCGCTGTCCCAAAGTCAACAGGCACGTCCCCCCCCCCGCCCCCGCATTCCTAAGCGCATCACCCTTCGCCTCGCACGCCACGCGCCCACCAGCCAGCCCACGTTACTGATAGCGGGCTGCGGGCGGTCGTCGGTGGCGACTGGCACGACGCCCGAGCGTGCCGGCCGACGGCGGCGCCGCCTGGAACCGTCACCGGGCTACGTCCTGACGGCGCCTCCGACCCCCACCGTCCACAGCCCGCAGCATGGCCGAGATCGTGGAGCACGTGCAGTGGCACGAGCAGCTGCAGTCGCTGGCCGAGGAGCGTCGCCGGGCGGTGCGCGGCTGGCGGGAGGCGCGGCGGGCGCAGACGGCGCACGCCGCCGACACCGAACCTCAGCCTCAGCCCCAGCCCCAGTCCCGGGTCAGTCAGCGGCGGCGTCTCTGCGGAGCGGGCCGGCGGCCAAATTCCCTGCCGGACGCGTGCTGGCTCGTCAAAACGCTCCGCTGCAGCGGAGTGGGTATTCCGGATTGGTTGCGTGCATGAAACGCTGCGCACCGGCGATGCTGGGTACGTGCCAATCTGCGGTGCCAGTCTGCGCCCATCGCGAGCTGTGTTTGGGTGCTGTGCGGTGATCTTCGTGATTCCGTCCTCTGCTTCCAACTGTGTCATCTGGTCTGCGTATTATTCAATGTTCGTACTGGATAATAACATTATGAAGTAACGCAGTTTTGTCGGGGACAGATCTATCACTAGTACTATCCCCGATTGTATCGCCAGAGTCACAAAGCAAAATGTGATGTGTCGACTCGGCCTGCCTATCATGCAGGCGGAGTCGCCTGGTTCTCGTCCAATACGCCTGTTCCTGACTCAAGCCACGCTTGGGTGGCCGGCGCCGCCTCCAACAATGCCCTGAACTCCCTCACAGCCGCCCGCGGCCGAGAGCGGCGGTCGCCCCATACGTCGCCGGCTGCGCAACCGCGCCCGGCCGGCCCGCGCCGCGAGCGCCCCGCCGCCGCCGCCGCCGCCGCCTCCGCCGGCAGCGCCGGCGCGGCTGCGCTGGGAGCGCGAACAGCGCGAGCGGCGGGCGGCGGCTGCCGAGCACCGGCAGCGGCGCCGAGAGGAGGAGCAGCACGCCCAGCGCCGTCAGCAGCAGCTGCAGCAGCAGCAGCGACAGCTGCGCGGCCGGCTGGCCTCTAAGGCACTGGAGGTCTACCGGTCAGTCAGGAGCGGCGCTGCTGGGACGGCAACCCGCAGACCGCCGCGCCGCCGTGACGCCTCCCCCCCCCCTTCCTCACCGCGTTACTCATTCGGCGTACGTGTTCCCTGTTCCTTCGTTTGTGCTCGGACGCTGCGTGTTTGCTTTTTTGCATCGGCCTCTTTCATTGAAACAGTCGTTCGCTTGCAGTGGGTTTGAAAGAAGTCCTTGTGCTTCGTACGTTATGCCGATCGCCAACAACTACGTTGCCGCGGCACTTCAGGTCAATTCATTCATAACGATTCTACAGCTATGGGCGCTCGCACCATTTCACACCGCGTGGCTTTTCCCCACCGTTTCCCGCTGTTGGATGCCCGCCTGCCGAGCTGCGCTGCCGGCCCGCCTGCAGCCCCCTGAGCAGCTCAGCTGATGCGCCGTGCCGGTGGTGTGCAGGCGGCGTGACGCGGAGCAGATGGCGCGTCAGAGGGTGGCGCGGCTGGAGAGGGCGTCCCAGCCGGCCCGGTCGCCGGTCCGGCCGGGCGCCGGCGCGCCCCGCTGCCCGGCCCGCCTGCTGGCCGAGACCAGCGCCACGCGCCGACGGCGGCAGGCGGCAGAAACACACCCGGGTCCGGTTAGCGTCGGCTTGCTGGCCGCGTCGCGCAGGTGAGGTTGGTGGCGGGATGCTGTGCTGGGCGGACGGCGCTGAACACGCCTTCACCGGTTGTTTTGATTTTGTTTGGTCGTGATCCAACGAACGGAAGATGTTTGTTTTTGCTTGAAGAGCTTAATAGGCCAGGCACCATTATCCCCCTAACCCCAATATGCGTCATTGATTCCACGACTGACTAGTTCATTAAACCGTACAGGCATTATTTCAGGCAATTTACCACGCCGCGTTCGACTGTCACCTTTGCTACGACGAAAGCTTGCTGATGACACCGCCTCCCCTGGACGTTTAAAAGCGGGATGGTTGATGCGACAATCATCACAGGCCGGGAACCCATAGCGGCCAGGCTGCCTCTGTTATCTGCTCCTAGTCGGTCTGTGGTGTGTTCTTGCCGTTGTGTGTTCTTCATGTCATTGCTCCTCAGTGGGATCCGTGGAATGACCTTCGTGTTCTCATTCGTGTTCCTCGTGCGTCGCCGCTTCTCATCGGGTGGTGCGGGTCTCTCCAGGGCCGTCCCGCTCTGGCGAACCGGATTGTAACGCCACGCGATCATTTCTCGCCAGAAACAAGTATGTAAGTACCAAGTGCTGTTTTGAGAGCACCGAGTATAAGGCAGCACGAAAATTGTGCCGCTCGCGCACGCTCGCGTGCGATGCGGATGGGCGTTTCCGGCCGGTGGCCTCCCGGAGCCTGCCCGCATGGCAGGCGGACCGGCCGTCGGCGCATGGTGACCTCTCAGCCATGGTCTAACCCGAGCTGACCAGCTGCCCGCCGCTGAAGGTGCTACATTGGAGACGTGTTAATACATTTCAAACGTTACATCTGCGCTTGTGTGTGTAGGGGAGGGGGTAATGGTCGAGTGTTTAGCACACTGGACCTCCCACGTGTGGGGCCGACCCTTGCCAAATGTCAGTCACCTGGGACTGGAAAGTGACATCTTGTAGAATAATTTGTATCTGCGTGAATCGAGCCCAGTCCTGCCGCGCGTGACTCGTGCCCTGTCGCCCTACACTGCCAGCCGAAGCGACCCTTCACGCTCTGCCCTGCCCCGCCAGCAGTCGGCCCCCGCCCCGGGCCGAGGTCAGAGACCGCACTCCGTCGTCCCGACACGCAGACCTCCCCAGCCGCCGGGCGGCGCCACCGGCAGCCTGTGTCTCCCTCTGTATTGCGAGACGCGGCACCCGACCAGCCGGCGCCGCCAGAGCCGGGTTGTACAACAGTGGCGCGGTTTCGGCACGGTCCGCCGTCCACAATATCACAGCGGCTCGCGGCGGCGCCACACACACGCTGCGTCTGGCCGCCGGCCGGCACAGCGGCCGTGCGGTCGGCGCCTGAATTGCGGCACGCGCGCACACCTCCGAAGACGCAGTACGTGTACGGCGAGTCAAGATGTTGTACCACTGTATGTAAGAATATACCCACAGGCTCTGAATCATAAGTCGGTACACTGACACGTCAATGTCATGATAAGAGGCGTAAAGCTAGGCGTTTTACTTTGAAGCAAAATATCCGCGGTAGCAAACTATGCGATCTGTACACACATTTGTTTAAGCATTGTCTGTACCCGGTCCGTGGGCCAGAGGAGATACCGAGACCTTACAAAACACCTCGGCTATATGCATAGTGGCGGAGGCTCCAATACCAAGCAGCTAGACATGACAGTGCGTGACATTAATGGTCTGTTATTTGCAACTTCATCGATATCTCACGACCACTTCCGTTTCACTGAGCTTGCGCTTTCGTACGGCTAATCGTCACAGTACCTAGTAGATGAGCGTCGTCCGTCGATCGTTCCAACCATAATGGGCTCCTCAGTGGTCAGTGGTATGCACGCATTTGAATTCGCCCTTCATCACAGAATAATTCACATGCCCCTCCATGCAAATTCCTTCACACCCAAGACACTTGGCGGATACCAAACACCACGGGGAGCTTGTACCTCCTCGACAATGCGGGCATTGTCTACACGTAGATATTCGGAGCATTAAACATCATATTACCACGACGGGGGAGGTCGCAATCTCCATGTCATTACTTAAGCTGTTATTTGACGCGGGCCTGGGGCGGCTCTCACTCGCGCCTGGCCGCACAAGGCCTGACAAAAGCTTGCCCCCGGACCGACCTGCCCGGCGTCGCCCGCGGCGGCCCCGCCGCGGCCGCCTGACCGCCGGCTACCTGTGCATGAGCGTCTCGGCCCGCGCCAGCACAGTGCGGATCTCGACGGGAGGGTAGCTCTGCAGCAGCTTCATGTTGTGCGCGAAGTCGCCCGACATCAGCTGGTCCCGTATCAGGCTGGCGAGGCGCGGCGGCGCGGTCATGTCACTGTGGCTGCCGCTGCAGGTCAGGCGCGTGAAAACGCCGCTAGTCGTAAGAGAAAGCCCGTCTCCGGATGATACCTCAGCCGGGCGGGGGGGGGGGGGGGGGGGGGCAGTTAAAAAGGCTGCTCTCGGGAGCATCTGGAGGTTTTCAAGCGCGTATAACACGGACAATAAGGTCATTACTTAAGGAAGATCACAATCCTCGTCGGGTATACAGATCGAATAGTTTTCAATGCATGATAAACATGCTGTTGGACACGATACTCCGCTGCTAACGCGCGAAGGCCATTGGAACATCAACTCACACCATCATGGCGCAGCAGACTTCTGTGAGGAAGTTGAACCGCTTCTCGTCGGCGAAGAGCGAGTCCCAGATGCGGATGACGTCTGGCAACGTGAACTCTTGCGACAGGAGTAATGTCATCCACCTGACGGACCGCGCGAGTCGAGTCAAATACCTCCACAGGACGCCCGGTGAGCCGCCGCGAGCAGCGGCAAGCCCACGCGCCACGGAACACGGCAGACAAGCTCGTGAGGCGTCACGCGCTCAGGTCCCAGCGGGGCGGGGAACCACGAGCCAGGAGGCCACATCCGCGCCCTGTCCGGTTCTGCTTGCTGCGGATCAGCACCCGACGGTCGCTGGCTGCCGCAGGCGGGCGGGCAGCCCGCGGGCCGTCGCCTCAGAGGCCCGCCGCGGCGGCACGGTGCGGCTTTGGGGACCCGCCGTGGCGGCAGGCCGACCGGCACGCAGGCACGGCTCCGCTAAACCCCCTGTGCCAACGCACAGACGACGGGAACCGCCTGGCTCCGACTCGGACGGGAGGGCTCCAGACGGCTTCATCGTCGGGCGGCGAATCCGGCGCGAGCTCCATCTCCGTGTGTGTCATTGGGGCTTTACGACGCACTCAGCTGCTCAGGCTATATGGCGCCGCCTGCCTCTCACCCTGGCAGGAAAAGCGGGCACCGCGGGGAATCGAACCCCGTACTTCTGGCTTCCCAGATGTGCAGGGGTTCCCAGACCACTGGCGCCCCCGGAGCTCCATCTCCGCAGCCGAGCACGAAGTGTCCCCTGGGCGCCCCTCAATCCGCCGCGAGGTGGGGCGACTCACCGGAAGGCGAAGTACTGGGGTCGCAGCTCCTGCACGCGCAGCCGGACGGCCAGGTGCGGGTCGTGCTGCTGCAGCCTCTCCATCAGCAGCCGCAGCCGGTAGTTGATGCCAGACTCCGAGTCGTCCAGCGTCTTGATGAAGAAGTCGCGGATCTCCGACATCAGGTTGGTGAACACGCCGAACGTGTCTGCCTCGGCGTGCTCTGGAGGAGCGGGCCACCGGCCCGACGCCCACGGTCAATCTACGACAGGCGTGTTCGGCGCCTGCGTCGCCTTGGCTACCAACGTTAATCTACGAACAAACCGTGAGTGGTGTTCCAGGAGTGTTTCAACAGAGCGTTTGGGACTCGCCACTCCATTCGCTGCTATGCTATTGTCCTTTAAAATAACTTGTCCATGGAGGCCCGTCACTCAGGAGCATACTACAACGTCCCGTAGTTTGATGAGCGATGTTTAGGACGAGTGCATCACCGCAACAGTTGAAAAGCGTGTTACCAGCTAAGTGTGATGGCCTGACGCGGCAGCGGTGGTGAGCTGGGCGGCTCGGCGGTGCCCTCTGCTCACCTCTCCACTTCGTGTCGGGATCCGAGGCGAACGTGTAGTAGATGGGGCCGATAATCTCGTTCATGCCCTGCACGTAGCTCTGGCCGGGGTTGAGCTTCGCATACAGGAAGAGCACGCGCTCCACCACCTCCCAGTGGGCCTCCTGACCCAGCGGCAGCGGCACGTAGTCCATGTCCGACGGGCGCAGCTTCGAGTCCACCATCTGAGAGCAAAACGACGGGCGGACGCAATGACAGTGACGCACGTGACGGGGAAATGTATGTTCAAACTGAGTCAAGAACGTGTATGTAGCCTGTCTTATTCCGGGACCTGTAAGGACTAGGCTATTCACCCACTTGTTGCATTCCAAATCTGTGGTTTTCTATAACTGGTTTGAAGCAGAAATAAAAGCTGAACAGAAAAAACAAGAAATGGTTTTCGCCTGCCCCCCCCCCCCCCCCCTCCCTTCTCCAAATCCCAAGCTGCGTGTTCGAGTGGGTTGACAGAAACATTGCATAACAAGTAGGACACAGCCATGAATAAACATAAAACGGCACTACTCAATGCAACAGAAAACATACCTATTCTTCACATGTCACTTCCTGTCTACCATAGCATACCAATGTCGGGCTATATTCACTAGTCACTGAAGCATTTCAGTAGCAAAACATCGCCGCGATCAGATGTCCAAGTGGTCTTTACCGTAGTTGTCACACGGTCCGTTTTCATGATGATCGATTGCAAACATTGACTGACATGATTTCATGCCGTTATTACTTTGTTCATGCCCAGCCCGACGCGGCGCACGTTAGACGAGCTGAGGTAGACACGGTCGACGCGCTCGTGCAGCCGTTCGTGGTAGTCGCCGCAGACCACCTCCCGGCAGGGGTACTCGGTCGGCTGCTGGAAGAAAGAGATGTCCGGGCACAGTCGCCTGCGGCAGAGGACGATGATCCGGTTAGGGGCATCGGCGGTGCTGAGACGAGCCCTTCCTGATCCGGGTGTGCTGCTCAGCTGGTTACAGACTGGACCAAGCCGAAATACAACAGGATCCTGCGGCGATCTCTGCCTGATTTTCCGCGTACGAAAAGCCACCAAAGCGCAGAGAGCAAATGGCCGGATGAGTCTGTGCAATATGCCGAATACTGCATCAACACTATGCCATACATAAAAGGAAGACCACAGATCAATTGCAATTGTTAACCTTACTCCGGACGTCTACAAAAAGTGAACGGGACCACAAGTGGCCACGTGCTGCTGGCCAAATGGTCAGGCGCGCCATTTCACGCGGTTGCGCGTCCATTGGCGTACATACTGACCTGACGTCCTTGTCGATCTGTCCGAGCACGTCGTTGTCCTTGAAGAAGGCCTGCCACTGTGAGTCGGGGTCGAGGCTGAGCGGATGGTCACGCTCCGTGACGTCAACGCGCGACGGTACGCTGCCGTCCGCTCGCCCGCCCGGCCGCACCACCATCTCACCTGACCGCCGCGCAGATACAACACTCAGTGATCATCATTGAAAAGACAGCAGTAAACAATCAAAAGGCACCAAAACCACTGTCATCCCATTAACTAATGTGGCTGTAGTGAAGTCGGGTGGGCACCAGATGCAAGGCACACTTGACTTCCACTTGCGTCACATCTGCTGCCACTGCAGCCAAATCTGCCCCGTCCCCAGGATGTTCCGCAGTAAGTCTCCTGGTGTCGCATTTGTTACCACTGCAGCCAGGTGAGCCCCAGGATGTAGCCACATCAGCCTCCCCTGAGCGCAACACTGTATATCAGACGCCTTCCTCCAGTACAGCTATCTAGACCGCAACCGGCCCGTATCACGAGCGTGTGACGAGCTGAGCAGGCCGACCGGAGACTCACGGACAAAGCGCCGGTAAGTGTCACGCTGTCCGCGGAGCGCCTCGTCCCAGGCGGCGCGGCTCGGCGGTAGGTAGTTGAGTAGCAGCTTCCAGCAGAGCGCACGCCGACCCTGCTCCACAGGAATGCCTGCCCCCAGCCATCGGAGGTGTTACCCACACTGTCACAGCCACGGCAACAGCTAGCAGAGTGCATACGGACCCTGCTCCACGGGAATGCCTACCCCCTGCCGTGGGAGGTGTTACCGACACTACCACAGCCACGGTAACAGCCAGCAGAGATAAAACCTGCACCCCGACCCTGCTTCACGGAATGCCTGCCTCCATCCATCGGAGGTGTTATCGATACTGCCACAGCCACGGCAACAGCTAGCAGAGTTCACCCAGACCCTGCTCCACGGGAATGACTGCCCCCAGCCATCGGAGGTGTTACCGACACTGCCACAGCCACGGCAACAGCTAGCAGAGTTCACCCAGGTCCTGCTCCACAGGAATGCCTGCCCCCAGCCATCGGAGGTGTTACCGACACTGCCACGGCCACGGCAACAGCTTGCAGAGTGGACCCCGACCCTGCTCCACGGGAATGACTGCCCCCAGCCATCGGAGGTGTTACCGACACTGCCACAGCCACAGCAACAACAATGCAGCGCACCAAAACGATAACCACATAATTTCCCAGCAATCGTGACATATGTTATGCTTGCATGTCATGACACAATACATGTGATCAGACTGTTGTGTTGCATGCAGTTATTGAGAAAACCTGGGTAAAAATTGGACCTCACCTTGAAAACAGTATTTCCTGAGCTCCTTGAGACATATGATGTCCTCATCCAGCATAACATCCAGTTCCTTCAACCTGTTTCAGTTGTAACAGTTACACCACAGTACTGGCATAGCAAAATAACATAGACTGAGTTATCAGAGCCAGGCATCAAACATGCCTAAAATAGAAGCTTGATAACAGATCTTAAAATGTGATTGGTATCCACAGACATTACCTGGACCTTAAATGCAGTTTTGAGGCCAAATTGAACAATAGAGTTCAGACCACTATGCCGCGCAATGATTGACAGAAAGCTCATTACCAGAGACTTTACACTTTAAACAATATAATTCATTGGAGTAAGTCATACACATTCTACCAACATTCAGCATCATTGGTCGTGCCGCAAAACAGAAATTAAACACCGAATGACACCAGCATTGTAATAGCAAACTCAGAGAGAAATTATGCATCATATGTGCAAATAGAAACACACCTGGCAAATCTTGAATCACTAACCTGGATTTGAATGATGTCATTTTAATCTCAAATGGACTACTTCCTGTGTCACAGCCTGAAAATGGAGGGCATTTTACTGGAAACTTGTCATTATTGTGTTTGCAAGGTATGACATATGCTAAAATCATGGGCCTTTTGAATATTCTGGGGATACAAACAAACCAAAGAATGCTTCAGTTTTAAGCAGATGTGGATTCAACACACCTGATTGTAATTTGTCTGTTTTATGTCCAAGGGCTTTACTGTAAAGCAGCTATCAGAGCAATCATTACAATGCACATCACACTAGGTACAAATACAGCAATGTGCAGGGTCTATTGGGTTTTATGGGGCCATTGTGGACATTTATGCTGTGTTACAATTGGAAGAGGGAGTTTTTCAAGGAACACTACAGAAGTGAAACAAGGAAAGAAGGGGTAGGCTTTATAGAGTAAGGTTACATTCAGGAGTAGATGCAAATCATGGTAAAATCTTGAAAAACACTGATTTCTTTCAGCTAGAAGCCTCTGCCTCTGGTCATGAAAGGGAAGATACTTGTGATCCATTTGCACTTCTAGCTCAATTAAGGGTCACACAGGCATTTTGGGAGGTGTTATATTTAATAGCAGAACTTGAGGGAGTGGGGGGGGGGGGGTTGCCACCATAACCAATGCAACCATGATGGAGGAAAGATTGAAAAATGGTCAAAGATTTGTGACACAATTTAAAGATGGCTCCTTATCATTTTATGCAGGCTGCATTTTATTTTTCAGTATGGGTCCAACTCCCTATAACTTTGAGAAGCAAGTGGCTAAATCATGGGAGAAAGCTGTTTGTTGTGCACTTTGGGGCTGGTTAGCCACTCATTACTACTGATCTCCATTCACTTATTCTGTCAACTACATCCCTGTCAATTCTTTACATCTAGCCCAAGGGTATGCTATTGCCAAGTTCCTGCAGACCAGTATGTCTATGTAATAGAAGTAGCTTATGACAATGGGTCAGTTTTGTTAGGATTACACCATATGTGTTCTACTTTCTGTGTTATTATTACTTCCAGTTATGTAAACATTCTTGGAAGCTGAATGTTACATATAGTGCCCATCACTTGCGCCCTGTGCATAAACTGAGCATGAGATGCATTTTTTAGCAAAGGTCCAGCATAGCAGCAAAGACGCATCGGGTGACTCGCCAGTTTACGTTCAGCTTTATTTCCAAAGCATGCAAACTGGGGAACCACATGTCTGTTTTAGAACTGCTTGAGTCAACTAGTCACACACATTTAGGAAGTATTCACCTACCAGTCCCTGAAACATGGTTCAGCATCTCACATTCAGCAAAAGTTTTCAAGTGACCAAGGGTAACATTGATAAATTATTGCTTTAAGTGGGATTAACACTTAATTGTCTGCACTCATGTTATTCCAAAGATGACCACACTTGTTTCAAAAATGTTTGCACCATTGCTCTGTAATCCAGTGTTTTGAGCGCAAGCCCAAGCCTATGCCCAATTTTTTACACATTTTGTTTTATCAGACACTCATTACTGGGTTTTCTCAAATTTCCAGTGGCTACGTAAAAAGGGAACTTACATACCCAATGAAGAGGTAGATCCAACCCTCGCGCAAACAGCAATTTTACGCAAAGCGCTGTCGCCGGAGAATACAGGAAACAGGACCGTTCCCTACAGAACCACCTTCTAGTGCTATCCAAGGCTATCTAGGGTATAGCACCCCACCAATGTATTTAGTGCGTTACACTGGCCAACATTTATTCCGCTTCCACATTTATACCAGATTGAAAGAATAAAAAATATGTAGAGCATAAATTCTGAAAAAGCTACATTACAATTCACAACCCGATTGCAATTGTGGTTTGTGTTTGTGTATGGTTTTGTGAAGCTGGTCTTGGTTTGAGCCACAGGTTCATTATTGCTGAATTGGACGTTGGCTCCAATGAGCGAATGGTGTCCCGAGCATGAAAAGTACCACGCTGAATTCGCGCAGGGTTTAGATACATATATACCGGATCAAGACGCATGTGATTTACGTGCCCTGGATACGCATCGAAGCATGCTAACTCTTAATCCGGCCGACTGCAGTTGTAGACATTTCCCCTTTTCCCTCACGCATTGGGTTGGGTGCGTTAATAGCAGGTTGACTGATAACCTTCAACCCTTACACTTCAACTCTTAAACCCCAGTGTTAACACCGAATAACGCAGAGACGACTGTCAATTGCACGCATTGCTATCACCATGAACTACGCTAGATGATGACTGGAGCAAATAGCAATCAGCTTCGCTGTCGCTACTCGAAGCATCAGGCCAGACTAAGTTGGGTTTAAATCCTGATCCAAAGCCAATGAGCGTGTTAGCTTGGCTCCATTTTTTTTTTAATGTATCGCCACCGTGTCAAGACAGCAACGGCTACCGTACTGAAAATACGAGGGATAACGGGTTTGACGGTAATGATATATCTCTAACTTGCATTGCTCATATATGGAGCATTCGACTGACCATATTGTGGGCACCTCGCACACTGCGATTTTTCTCCTACACGCCAATTTCAAATGGAGATAGCCGAACATATTGGCTGGAGCGACCCTTTGGCGGCGCGCGCGAGTTGCACAGCGGTTAAGTCGATTGCGTTCCCACCGGCGCGACGCGGAGCGCTGCGTTGTGCCCCTGTCACGATTTCAGCACCGCACTGGTGCCCGCTCCGCGTTCAGACGAGGTCCACTGGCAGAGAGGCAGGCAAAAACTGCGGTTGTTTACCTGAACATACAACGAGAAAACACATGCGACGAGGACTGAAAGATCTTACTGGTTGGCAGGACCTTAATGATACGGAACTCCAACTGCTCATGCTCCTGCTGAACAAGGCACGGAAAAAACTACAAAAAAACACTTGCACTTCAGTTTTGCGTTGATGACAAATAGAACACGAGAGCCTTGCCGTTGTAGAGCTATGTGCTTGTATTCAACTGAAGAAGGAAACAAAAACAGGCGCCCTAACACCTGATCGACACAAGCCCGACCGAATCAGGCGTATGTGAAGGCGAGAAGCACACAGCCTGACACGGGGCACCCTCACGTGTGCAGTGAGTTCACACAGCTCTGTTCAACAAAGTGTGAAGCAAACTTCTATGAAAATTACATTTCAGATATTCCAGTCTGGACCATTCACCGCCCACGTTGCACGGACATTCTTATATCAAAAGTTAGCAAGAGGGTGTCATTTCACACTGGCACGTCTACAGTAGGATCAAAGTGAACCCCACATAGATAAGGTCCATAAAAGCCTTCCATGCCGGACAACGCGCCACGCTGCAATAGACAACTCCCACCAGGGACTACACACGACGCTGTATGACACTGCAAGCCATCGTCACCTCTCGCGCTACGTCTGTGAGGCTAGCAGGAGCTAATGCACAAGATAACGCGACATGCCCCCAGCAGATATTTGCCCCAAGGACTACGTATGACGCCGCAACTAGTCTTCGCTTCGCGCACTAGGTCCGTAAAGCTAACGCGAGTTAACGTGCAAGACAACGACACTGATGAAATCCGCGAAAACAAGCGTTCACACAACACAAGCGGCCAGTTTCTCATCTCCACCCTGGGAATGTGTCCCAGCACATCGCAGTCCCACCAGACCTCTCCGCGTGAGTCGCTCCGGTGTCCGCGGCCCGCCTGCTCGCCACCCCACCTGTCCACGGCCGGCGGTCTGCCCGCCGCCCCTACGCGTCGACGCCGGTCTGCAGCAGGTGCAGCGCCTTCTGCAGGTTGACGACGGCCGTCGGCACGTCCTCGTAGTTCAGCGCGCTGTAAGCCAGCTTGCTGTACTTCTGCGCCTTGGCGATCTGGTCGAAATTGAGTGACACGGAGGAGCCGCTGCTGGCGGCCGGCGCCGGCGCCGGCGGCTGGTACGAGCTGGCCGCGGCTGGGGCTGGCTGGTACGGGCTGGTCGCGGCTGGGGCTGGCTGGTACGGGCTGGCGGGCGCCGCCGGCGGCGGTTGGTGATGGCTGGCCGCCGGCGGAGGCGGCTGAAATCCCATGACGTTGGGCCCCGAGGGACCCGGTCCGGGCTGGTGCGGCTGCTGCGGGACCGGCATTGACACGTCTCCCGCCAGATCCTCCTCTGAAACACAGCGCATACATCACATTTGGCATTCAGTGCGCGCCCGAGCGTCGATAAGCCGCGTAATTGCTGGGCTGCAGGCAGGGAGTGGGACCGCAAGCCAGGAACTCAGTATTGAAATACATAACGAACCGTGCACGTCGGTGGATAAAACCTGCCGGTGGCTCATTATGCTGTCAAATGTGGTACCACACTGCAAAATAGTATGTAAGCAATTCAGATGCTTAGCCCAAGAGTGACCAACAAAACCAGGCATTCTAGACTCATGCGTACATACAGTGTAGTCATGTAACCATATGTTAAACAATCTTGTAGTCCCAAAGGTCTTGGCTTGGGTAGGCTTAACAAAACGCCCGTAGCCAGGTTGGGATATGTCCTCTGATCCACATTTGTTTGTCAACACACCAACCAGGTCTCAGCAAAATAATAAAAGCGTATCCCTAGTCCACTCCAATATGGTCCGTGCATAAACCCCGCCGTGAAAAACGATCACTGACGGCCGCTACGCGCTAAATCGTGGTTGCCTGTGTTTGTGTGAGTGTACGTGTGTATGCGGGTGCGCGCACCCGCGCACGCACCGTCGTCGCCTCCGACCGGGCCGGGCTGTGGAGTCTCCCCTTTCTTCAGACAGCTGTGAATGTAGGCCGCCTTCCACTTGGCGTATTTGCGCTGCTCCTGCACCTCCACGGACAGCTCACCGAACGTCTCGCACACGTCATAGATGACGCCGGCCGTGTAGAACGCCTTGACCACGTTCCTGGCGACGGGGCGGCGGTGACGTCATCACTGACCGGGTCACGTGACAGGGTGAGCTCAGACGTCACGTGGCTGCACGGAGCCAGCCGCGTCCCAGTCACACGGATTGCGACAAGGTGACGACCGGAATCGGCTCGGTTCCTCAGAGTGAAGTAAAAAGTACTTGTTCAAATGAGCACTGCACTGAACAGAAATGCTGTGTGGCCGCCCCATCTGCAAATGTCTTACAAAGCTCCAACATCTGACTGGTTATACTATGCACAGGTACGAGCTGATCACATAATCATGTTAAATGAAAACGAGCTTCATTAAAATGCAGACTGAGTCCAGTAGCAGCTTACTGTGCTAGGTCATGTGACACAGGTGATGACAGAGATAAGTGTTACTGCATAAACACAAAGCATACAATGTATTATCACGTGAGATGCACCGCACCCTTCCACCACTTGACTAACTTGTTGAAGTGGGCAGCACGGTCCTCCTTGTCCGCCCAGAGGAAAAGTCGGTTGCCGCAGTTTTCCATGTGGGCCTGGGCCACCACATCATTGGTGATGGCTTCCTCACTGGCACCACTCTGTGCATTGGAATATCATATGCACTGTTAAAAGGACAATGGCATAAAAAAGACTGGTGGAACATACAGCACATGGAAATTCAGCCACCAACTTTGATACTGTTCTATTCACAGCATTGGACTTCATTGAGGGTTACACCACATATCATACAAAAAAGGGCATAACCCATTCAAGCCATATTAGATGACATTCATGGTAAATGTTTGCCAGTTGTGACTGCAATATTACATTTGGAGAAATGGTTACAGGTTGCACAGTACCAAGTGTCATCTAAAAAGATCTCAAAAGTTTATGACAGCTGTTTTGGAAAGAACTGTCTGATGGATAAGGGACAAATCAAACCACAACACAATCACAGATTATAGACATTTTACATATAACTAATCAGACCTTCTTTGCATTTTCCAACCAGTCCATCAGGGGAAGAAGGATGGCCAATGATTCTGCTGATTTGTCAATCTGTAGGCCATTCTGCAAGGCATACAGGCGACCTGAAATGACAGCATGGAAACTTTGATCAATAAACCTGGGGATTGAATGTGGAGGATTGGGATTAATAGCAGCACAAAGAGAAATACAAAAAACTGCAGTTATGTTCAAACAAATTTACAAAAGCAGGTACAGGCCAACAAAGCACAATGTGATATATTTGGATAAAAATCCACCACATAACATTGTAACATATAAACTCAAGATGCATCTGATACAGAAACAAAAAGGTAGCCAATACAATACAAAATGTAAAATATTCAAGCCATTGTAGCTTCAGAACAGATAAGACCTGATGCCCCCCTCTAAAAATAAATGATTTCTTGTTTGTTTTAACTGACACCCAGTGATTCCTGAAATGCAAAATTGTGGGTTAATATGTCATTAACCAAGAATAGTTAACTGATAATCAAATTAAAACAGGTTAGTAACCACACTAAGCAGGTTAGGCTGGACAAAACAAGGCACATTCATTTTTTAAGAAATGGGGAGAATGCAGAATTGAATCCATAGAGCATGTATAAAATGTAAGCCACATCCTTACATGAAACAAATTCAGCACGGAACATTACGAGACAAGGTTGTGCTTGTGTTGACTTTGAATGAGCACCATGGTACAGATAGCTGTTATAAATTAGATCAAAGTGAGGATTTTCACCTAGCTTTACAATGACTGATTCCATACAATCACCTTCTTTAAACAGAAAACACTGATTTTCACCTAGCTTCACAACTAAT